CTAGTACGACATCCTCTACGTCGGTAGCATTCTTAAGTGTTACACGAAGTAGCCTCGGGTGATTTTGATGCTTAGATTCCTCGAGTGATCCGTGTGACTGCCAAAGGCTCTATTCTTGGAAGTCCAAGTTTCTTGTTCAATTCTCCCCATATCATCCTATCATTTCTGTCCTGCAAACTGAGAGGAAGGTCAGGGTTGTCTTTGAAGTTCATGACTATGAGAGAGTCATCACGAACCGTTATTGTCGTCCCAGGTTCTCCGGTGCGTTCATGTTTAGCGCCTTGTTGTTTGGGGGTCGAAGCACGTTTATGGATCCTTGGCTCCTTGATGACCGGACGGACAATCTTGAGGGTAGACTGTGCGACCAGATCACCAGTTGACTTCCGTTCAACAGCTGGGATGTTCACCTAAGACTGTGACGCCTGGCCCTTTTTAGCTCTTTTGACATGGGTCCAATCACCTACAGAGTTTTTGGAAACCACTGCCACGTTCAAGGACCTTAAGCTGTGAGACCCGAATTAACTGAGGGAGTCGAGTACCGTCGTCGTAATCATGGTGCTGATTTTCAGCGTGTCATCATTAATGCTGTTGCGTGCTCCGTCGTTGGAACACCTATCGACATCCCTGTTCTCGTTTTCAATGCGCTCTCTTGTTTTTCTACCCATTTTTAAACTGTCTTTTCCCAAGTTTGCAGACCTGTCAGTAGGACAGTGATATTACTCAGCAAGACTGCAGCATCCGTGCTGCACGTAACACATTCCCACTTATGATCCGACTTGCTGAGTCTGTTGTAAGCAGTTGCTGTGAGATCTGTGCACGCTTCGTGGAACCAACCTTTGCAGTTGTCGCACTGCATGCTAGATGTAACAGCAAAACGCATCCAGGTCGTTTGCATGAATTTTTCATGACTGTATTGACGTAAACTTTGTTGTAGATGCTAGCAAAAGCCTAAGACCGTAAAAAATACACTAAAAAACACACTGAAAACGGACAAAAATGGATAAAACGGATGAGATAAACTGAACTAGTCTTTACGTGAAAAACTGGGGAAAAAACCGAATAGTAAGCTGAGGCAAAACCACAGTTAACTATTAAATTGGGTGAAACTCAAAAAAAGTAATCTACCGAACGTCTAGCTCAGGATAGATTCTTTTGGTCAGAAATGGTACTTTTGTTGCGTAAGAACAAAGCAAAAGTTTGATAAATGCAAATCACGTTAGGAATATATCCGTTCGAAGTTGGGGGCTTCTAGGAACCAAAACCTTATATCCCTTAGAATATCTGTAGTGGCATTGGACAATAGCCACACAATCCACAAAGCTGTGAACACGAGACTACTCAGAAAATAGATATTCAATATTTGTATTTGGGTTTATGGATTGGTTTATCATATTAGCAGCCTAAAATGCGAACACAGTTTAGATAATAAGATTAAAAATTTAGGTACTATCAACTGCACTAGTAAAATAACTAAATCCCCAAGTAGCTGTTGGCCAAACAAACGTTTAAAATCAAAACTCCGTAGCCTACTAGAATTAACACTAAACGAATATTTCTGAATTGAAATTTATAATTAAATTAGGCGTCTCGGATTCTTTAACGTTGTAAATTTCTGATGATTTTGAATCACTTAAGGCAACAATAGCATAGAAATGATAGTTCATGTGCTTTTGAATCTAGTGTCCACTCATAGAGCCGTTGGAATTGGGTAGGAAATCATACACGATGCCTTTAAACTTCAATTTGACCCATAGGGAAAGCCTCTGACCAGGAGAGGACATTGTCCACCATTTCATCACTTTGCAATCCACTAGGACCTATTGCTCCAACATACCCTCCTGCCAAGCAATGCTTAGCAAACCTTCGTGGGTTACGCACTGGTTGAAACCAGACTCTGACAACTAGTGTTTTGACCTCGTCGAAATATTTGGTTAAGTTTGTGCTGAAGCTCGCGACAACCAACATTCTCCGAAGTATTAAAAGTGAGAATAGAGAGAACTGCGCACAAACCTCCGGACAGTGTTTTGTTCCATATTAAAGCCAGGGTGGCACTTATAAAACCGCTATCCGTGTTTAGATTAGAGCTAACAGCAGTATTGAGTACCCGAATAGGTGAAGTTTTGAATACAAGTCTTTCACACACATGTGAAAGATGTGAAAGCTTGGTCTCCTGAAGAAGGTCGAATAACTGCGGACTATATGTTCGGTTCACGGAGGTACAGGCGTACTGTTGTAAGTCCCTTGTCTCCCATCGACAAAGAGTAGTTAGCTAAGGGAGTCATGACTGGACATATCAAGATGTATCTCTACGTAGCTGGGGGGACTTCTGAGGCCTGTCTAACGGAAAGAACACACTTAAAGTCCCTCAAAAACATTTCAGTGAACAATATTATCATTTGTTTGTTTCTTCTCCCTAAATCGTAGTTTAACCCTTTCTCAGGTCTCTTTTAACCGCTCTTTATGCTCTTCGTCCTTCTTTGTCGGAGCTTTTGTTATGCGATCGTGACTAAAGATGTATCTTTTGTTACTTAATTTACTGCTGCATATTCCTGGACTGTTGACAATGAAGTCGAGTCTGGTTAAACTCAAGGTCATAGCGTGGTTAAGTGTATGACTTAACTTTTGGCTGACCTTCAGAGAAGGGTTCTCCAATCCTGGTTGGAACCATCGAACTGTGATACTACTCGAAATATGCGACAGAAACGAGGTGTTCAGTGTTTTTGAGACGATGGTTCGACTTTTAGTTTTATGGGTAGTGTGTTAACCGTAGGTCTTATTCCATTAGTTATGCTATTGGTAACTGACTAATTCAATTACAGCAGTATAGGAGTGAAAAACATATTCTCTAATTATCAGGAACGCTCTCTAACTAAGGAAACGTGGGCCCTCAGAAACAAAACTTTCACTGACCTTGCTGACGATTTTACGAATATATAGTGGTTAGCAACCGTGTCGTTCAAAACTTCTCCTCTTACGAGTGTCTGAAAGCCAAAAAACCGGATTCTGAGAATGACGAAACGAGATGATTAATTCCAGTGATGACTAACCTGTTAGATGTGCCTAATCTAAGCTGACTAATTGTCTAGGAGATGTGCAGCATGACGTACCCAGGCGTGATCTGATGTAGATGTTTGGTGTACACATTTGACTACACGTGTATCCAGTAAAACTAGTTTGATCAGCATCAATACTGGAGACTAAAAATACTCTACCTCGATGGTTTATTTAATTCTACACTTTTAACCAATTTTTAAGGTCGATATCCGACCTTTACAGGCCTCTTTTTGAAGGTAGCGTTACGAAGTGACTGCTGTTTATGAAACATTGTTGCCACATGCACAATAATCTAGAAACTCTCCGCTCACTTTGTTTTCTAATATCAATTACACTGTGTCTGAGTTCTAGTAGTAATACTACTAGTATCACTACGAAACAGTTAAAGAATGAGGACATATAAGTGAAAATGGTGCTATTCGAAAATCGACATTTATTTCCTGATATCATATTTTCCTGTATGATCTGCTGCAAACGTTTCCATAGGGTATCTGTTCTCACACTAAAAAGCCACTCGCCGTTGGGCACAAAGTACACGACTTCATGCGGCCCTCCACAAATTTATTATTTGAAGCATGTAGGTCATTCTTACCCGAGAAATTCGCACTTATGTATGTATAAATCCACTAAAAGTTGTTTCCATGCATAAAAATCGTCGCTGCATTTCTTGGGTATAAAGTGATGACATCTTAGTATGTATAGACGTCCTAAGACAAGTTTGTCCTACAATGATATCAACTCTTGAAGACAGGATTTCTCTTGTATAATGACCGAATCCATGGATACTGTGATATCAGTTAGCACCCTGACTTTTTTACGTCATTGAATTTCGTTTTCGGCTGGATACATCAGCCCAAAAACGTTGTGGGGCTGTAAATCCTAGTCCTGATTCTTCACACTTATAACTCAGTCGACGGTATCAAGGTCAGTGCGGCGTCACTCAAAGGTTGTCCATAAATTATGGTCTCATGTGGTGTGTGTTGCCAACTAGGGGAAGCCAAACCTAAATGTGGCATCAGTCCATGAATTCACTTACAGCTGGAAGGAGCCATGTAGGTAGGCTACCTGTTTAAGATCAGAGCAATGATCGTAACCAGTAGTTAGACTTTAAGTGACGTGGGTCAAAATAATTCATAATCTCACACATGCATTCAATCTTTATCTCCTCTTAGATTCTGAGTTGCACAATTAATTTCACAAAGATTCTTTATTTCCACGTGCGCACATTTTCTTGAAGCATGTCTCACCCATTACCCTTCCTATTATTTTATTTATTTATTTGAACACATAAATATGGGTACGGAGGCACCGAATACATATGCGCCACACAAATCAAGTGATTTGCATGTGGGCTATAATACTGCCCCGGTGCCCAGGCCGAAGCAGGTGATTTCCTCGGGAGGCTACACCCAGAGCCTTCGACTTAAAGGTCGGATCCTCAAGGCTGTGAAGTCCCATGGTAGCCGGTGGCCAATAATTGGTTCATACGCCATTTGTTACTTCAGGATCCTGGAGCCCATGTGCAATATTGGTTTGGGATCAGGGTTTTCCAACTCCCCTAGGTGGTCCCTACGTGTCCACTAGCTCGGTTAAAGCGCAGGACATTCTGTTTTTGACATCTCAATTTCGTAAATAACACGAGAAGGCAATGAATAGGACTTCATTAACAGTGGCTATATACGCGTGGCCATGTGAGAGCATTTCAAGAGGGAGAGTGGACTCTCCCCACCCTCGGCCGTACCGGGGCATTTGGGGGCACTATTCAAGCACTAATGTGTCATCTTACTGTGCTGGTCTTATATGGCAATTGGAACCAGTGCATATATGTGCCAAGTTGCGCGTTACAACTGACTTACAATGTTCAGATATGTTATTTTAGGAGTCTCTTGTTGACTAATCTCACTATTCGGTGTTTTATTTTCCAGGTTATTAAAGGATTACTTTTCCGCATTTATAAACCGTCTATGATATATCCGTCGTCAATCCAAAAGGGACATTTGGTCCAATATTATCTACCCAACAAAGTATGAAGTGAAAGTTTTATCTGCATCAATGTCCTCATAACAATTATGTCAGGCTCAGAAGAGGATAGCAGCATTTTTGTTAAAAGACTGTATGCTCGCTATACCAAAGATGGGATTATAACTCCACAATCTCTTGTCACTTGGTTTGTTGATTATTTGAATTATCCCTTTATGTATGACGAAAAATGTAAGTCTAATTTTGGCTTCTTCAAAGATCCTAAAGACACAAAAAATCATCCATTTCAAATTGTTTCTTTTATTACCCGTGATGCATTACAGAGTAACACGATTCTACGGTTTTCAGAAAAAACGGAGCTGTTTTGTTTATATCATTCTTACCGATTTACTTTTGTCGTTGACTTTAGTTGGTCGACTTTGTGTTCAAGTGCAGATGGAACCTGTTATGTAAACAGTATTGTAAAAACAATCAACCAAATTTTCTACATCCTCTCTGAACCCAGCTCTTATAGTTTTCCCGGGACTGGTTATAAGTTGTCCAACTTTACAGTTTTTTGTTCCGTGATCGTTGTTGTTCCTAACTCAAAGTGCTATACATTATTGTCTGGTTGGGTTGTTAACACTAAAGAGATTCCCAATAAAATAGCATATATTTCTCGTTCGCTTGTGAAACTTGAGCGTACGTTTTTGGAAGACATTAAAAATAAGCGTGATGACTCGAAATATACAGGGAGACGATATGTTTTCTTATCGGACCTACTTAGACATGGGGCTTTATCTGTGTCATTACTGACTCCTATTTCAGGACCTGCCACAATCTTGTTTTTCACACACGGCTGTTTTGCAACATCTGATTTTGGTGTTCCAGAATTAGTTATGTCTCATTTAAACGTAGAACATGTTCGATGTGTTTTTATTTTGATGACAGACAATATTATCCCTGACATCCACAAACCATATATTCCTCATAATATGTCTAAACAATCTTCTCTCATGACTGCGGGTATTCAGCAAGTGGAGTTGTGCAGTGTCTTAGCCAGTAACACTGATGGATTCGTTGTCAATATCCCGTATGAATCTCAGCATTTAGCGGTTCAGATGAATTCGTGGAATAAATTGGCCGAATCTTTGTTAGCCGTCCCCATATTTCGTCATAGCGAATATACAACATGTTATAGTGATTTTAACCGTGACTCCCGAGTCATCGTCAAAGCAGGTTCAAAAATTGTAGAATTGCCTCCACATATTTTGTTAACAACAAGATTAAAAAGTGGATTCCGGCTTAAATCTATCTCACTAACTAAGAAATTCACTGTTCCAAAAAGCCATTTAATTACTGCAGAGGCTTCTGTTTACAATAAAAATGAAGAGATGGAAGCTTGTGTTCCACTTACTGAGAATGAGAAAATCTCTAATGATTGTGTGGCCACTAAATTAAAGTTAGATCTTGTGATGGTATGGGGTGTAAATATAACATTCCATTGTTCTATACGTGGAGGGTGGACACGAATACTTCGTTCTCCTATCGTAACTGGCTCTACTGATTTCCCTACAAAGAACATACATGAAGACGCTTTGTTATCTCCCTTTTTTAACTCTTTTACTACTCCTGAAAAGTCGTTGGTAGAATTGAAGGTTGAAGCAAATTATTCATTTTTACGACAGCTTTTTAATAGACATGCTTTACCTTACAGTAATCTGGAACTATCGTCAATGTTTTCTCGTCTTCCATTGCCTATCCAAATGATAACTTTGAATGATTTACTTTTAGCGCATGTTTATGAGTTCAATAGGGACCCATTTGTTCGGAAGGTTCCTGATTCATTTGCTAATCGTTTGTATCCTGTGTTTGTTATGAAAAACAATCTCCAAGGTGATTTGGTTGCAACACCAATTCTACAAGATTTACAACCGACTAATAATCCTGACTATTTATCGATTCTACGTTTTATCGATTATTGGAGACTTTTCATTGATATTGACCTAGTTCAGTGCTATCGTTGGATGGACTTGCATCACATCTTCTTACTCTTGGAATACGATTCACCTCTACCACCTAACTTACATTTCCCTCCATCAGACAAGCGCGATGCTTCTCCTCTATCATGTCGTCAAGCTCTTTTCCGTGTTCATACTCTTCTCTCACAATGGTCAAGTTTTGTTTTGCTCGAAAATAGTACCTATATAAAGTTGTTTCATATCGGTGACTTTGCTGTTGGGAGACTTGTACATAAATCCAGTTCTTTATCATCGATTTCTTCTGTTCCTGGGGCTACCCAGGAAACTATGGACGCGAAAAAGGTTAGTGAATGTGACGTTGGTTGCAATAAGACATGTTCGGGGGTTTCCATGTCATCTGTGTCTCATTTCTGTTTGATTCGTCTCGAATTAAAAATTCCCGAAGTTAGATTTTGCATTGGATTTGTCAATAATACTCCTGTTGATATCCAACACGAAATCATGGAGTATCTCAAAACACAATTAAAGTCTCTCCATTTTCCACCAAGAGGGCGCCAAGCTATTCCCAAATCTAGACACAAATCTGGCACTTTTCAACATGTGGCTGAGTGCAAACATGTTCCACCTCTTCAACGCTCCTGGGAGGATACACCATGTTGCACAGTCTTTAATACTAGGCTTGATCGTCTTGTAATAGACTTCGGTACATTCTGTAACCCTGTGGTAAAAGCCTCAGACTGCATTTCCACTAATAAAAATAAGTCTGTCAAGCTTGACCATACTCAGGAATCTGAACGTGTGTCAAAATCATGCAAACAAAATCGGCTTCTGTTTTTACAAACCGTTCCAGTAAATGATGCGACTATCAATCCAGTATTGTTGGCTCAACATCTTCATCATTCTGTTTGTGTATGGGCAGTTTTTTCATCAACTTGGAAGTCATGTATGCAGTCAATATTCTCAAGTCTTGTGAACATTCGATTACAGGAAGGATTTCATCTAGCTCGAGTAGGTCCGCAATCCGGATTTGTGTCTTTGTTAACTGAACTGGAAATGCAATCACTTGAAATCAGTAACACTGAAACTCCATGTTTAGTTCAGTATCAAGTCTATCCAACTGTTGACCCTAAAAATGTAGAATTTCAGGGACATGATTTAGGACATTTGACTGTTATAAATAATTTTTTAAAAAGCCGTATCGATGCTGTTGTGTTAGACATGTTAAATTCACCTGACTCCTCCACGGTTCCCGACATTAAAAAGTCCTCGTTTTCTCCTATCATTATTGCTTCCGAAATATGGATCCAGCCTGTCGATGGTATTATTAACTCAGTTGATTCGGAAGCTGAAAACTGGTCAGGATCTACTTTTTCCGAATTACCCCGGATTATTTTTAATGAAGACGAAGAGTGCATAGTTTCATACATAACATTGGATAACTTATATAACTTTGTAACCAACAAATCCAAAGTTTGTATTGGTTCTCCCAAAAAGATAACTTTACTAGGTGGTGATGCATATTTTCCACTAGAGTGTTCTACAGAAATCTGTCTAGTGTACAGTAGCATATCTAGGCTGATATCTCGTTGTTCAAACTTAATTGCTTTGTTCCCTTTATTGGGAAGTGTTGTTAACAAGAAACCTTCATCTAATCTTTCAAATAATGTTCATAACCAGCGTCTGCTAACAAGTTTTCAATCACGTCTCCTAAATTCTGGTTTATTGGTGGAGGTTCCAGTTTCTGTAGATGAATTGAAAACTGTTTTTATTAAATGGGGCTGCAACATAAACTCTGAATTCCCAGAAAACACTGATATTGATCTTCCTAAATTGCGTTGTTTTGTTGGTCGGGGATCTTTGAAGCAATCTGTTGTTGATTCAGATGTTATTGATGAACCAAATCCTATGGTTACGATGATTCTTATACCAGCCACAATAGGTGATGTATTTCATCCTATTATGTTTAGTATACTTACCAATCACCTAGGAACTTCTGATGCATCTAACCACCCTTCTCTTCCTGTATTTATCTATGCGTGTTCTCGTGTTTATATGTCATATCTAATTGATGACAAATGGACATATAAGGCCCCAGATACTCACATCATTGATATGCGCTCAAATGACCGACGTTTTCTCCAATCAGATAAACATGAATGTAATATTGTTGGAAAGTTATATTCTTTACCATGTGAAGTCCCAGACTGTTTTCTGAACGTGGGTTGTCAAAACGAAAGATTGACTCAAGAGTTGCACGCATTGTGGTCTGATTTGATGTTCTATACTGAAATTTTAGAGCACTCGTACAGTTATGGTTTCAGTGTTGCAATTTATCGGATTATTTTACATAACTCTATTCCTGACGCTAAAGATGTCAATTACATACTTAGACATTCAGAAGTGTGTTTTCCAATTCAACCGTTGTATGTAGATCTTACATCATTCTCATTACTTACCTGTTCTCATCTTTTTCCCTACGTTCATTTGCTACACAAAAGAAGTAATAAATATCTAGAAGGAAGTATTTGTTCTAAACATCTACCTGCTCTGGGTTGTGAAAAGCCAAAGCAATCTGCATCTCCACTGTGCTTCTTGGATTCAGAGGACCTGGCAGTTGAATTTTACATGTTTTCCGCTAATAAATGCGACTGTTGTGAAATCCAGAGAAGTTGTCTTTTCAGTACATTTACTGAGTATCTCAAACCCGTACCGAATTCGGATGGTGTTTATGTGTTGTCAAAATCCAAGTTAACGTGTCAAGGAAATCGCACAATCCGTCGTTCTGTAAGTCAAAATATCTTAAAATCTTGGAGTAAAGCTATAAATATTTCTGGTTCTAGGGAAATCTTCAGTCAAACAGACACTCGCAACGCGTACACTAGTTCGGTGACTTGTAACTTATCGGAAGCCAGCGGAGAGAGCGAGGCTTTGTGGGATTCACGCACTCTAAAATCGAATAAAGAGGTTTCGCATTGTAATCATTCTATTTCGCATTCTTCAGATTCACTACTGCGAAAATTGGTAGAGTGGTTTCATTTAGTTACGGAAAATTCGCCCGATATTTGCCCCCTATTCTTACGCATTCGTGGAATCTTGGAGTACAAAGGAACATCTATCAATGTACCTTTATGTAAAGGGATACCTACTTTCTGTGCTTCTCATTTTCACGGGCTTTTATCAGAGCTAATCTTGAAAAAGGCTTCTCAACACAGCTCATCATTCAGCCATAAAGTTGCATCTATGAGCAACAGCTCTGCATTAAAAATTGATTTAAGGGAATTATATTTTTATATTGAGATTCTACCTATCGTGAGACCACATTCTGATCTCTTTCCTTCTCACAAATTTAACGACGGTATTTTTAAGAAGTCGCGTCATAAAAATAAAACAGACATGAATTCGGGCCGTGTACGAAATCAACATCTGGAGTCTTCAGATATCTTTCACTGCTCCTTTATGTCCAGTAGTTATTCTATTAATATGGCTTACTCAACAATGGAGGAAGAATGTATTGTTATAGATGACTGGTTAAACCAGAACTATGTCTCTAAAATTCCGTCAATACAACAATGTTTTCTCCGCCTCTTCATTTTTCAAATATTGTGGCATATACATGACAAGTCGGTAAATTGTATGCGTTCCCTCACTCCAGTGACGGAAAAATCCCTTGAAACTGTCCTCCAGCACATTGAAGATACTTGTAAAGCGATACATACTCCACTCTTTAATCCCTGTAGCATTTTAGTCAACCACTCGTATATATCTAGCGAAGATGAACTCTCAAAATCAAATATAGATTTCGAAAAGTCATCAGCTGTGGTAGAACAATTATGTACCGTAGCACCGAACTTTCGCAGTCTTAGAAAACAGGTTCGCATGCAACGAATACACTTGGACTTCGTTTCCTATGACACTGATGTAGTTGACCAGTTTGCGAAGTATTTTGAGAGTATGCTTGTTTCCCATTCATATGGGTCCCTTCAATATATTAATGGGTACTACTACCTATCAAGCTTTAAAGAGACTTCTGAAAGCGTTCTAGAGAAACGACACACGAAGAGAAGTTGCAGGGACGGTAACACAACTAACTATTTTCCTGGTGTTGGAAATTTCAGCTCTGGTTTTCAAGACCCAAGTGTGACCATGGATAAGATTTCTTCACATCAGTCATCGTTTCCTGATAGTATGGCTATTGCTCATACTTCACAAAAGAGGGCACTTGCTAGGTCTCTAAAATATCAAACTCATATGAATGTTTCATATGTTGGTAATGAATGGTGTGGAAATAAAGGATCATACTTATCCAAGAAAAATCCTTGTCGAACCCATAGATCATATTCACTTTCTAGTTTTGACTCTCATTATTCCAAAAAGGACAATGAAGCTGTCTTTAAAAGTAATCTTGTTAGAAGCAGTATAAGCCTATCCGAAAGTAATTCAAGAAAAAGTATACATTCACTTGTCTTAGATGAATATATACAATCATCAAATAAATCCATGCCATTTTGGTTTATATTCCGTATTTGTTCCAACTCGGTTAGCGTTTTCTTTCATCATACAGATTTACACATCAAGAGTATTCACGGTCAAAGGCAGTGCCAAGATTTATCACTATCCAAATTTGCACTGCCTAAAAATTCATCATACCAAACTTATGAGGATATATTGTTACTTGAATGTCCGTACTGCACTATTTATCAAAATGTAGTGAATTCCATTTATTCTGTCATTCGAATGCTCAATCAGAAGCTGTTGTTGAAAAAACTTTATGATGAACGTCTATGTGATCAGCTTTTGTTGCCACCCGACGAAGTGGATATGATTACAAAACGCGAAGTAGTTAGTTCATCTGAATGTGATGAAAGCAATACTCGAAATGGATCTTTTAATGCGAGTAATTTTCGTGGATGGAAAGTCCGAAATAGACGTCATCTCCGTTCATTCATTCATCATATACCTCCAACAGATAAAGAAAAAGCAGCTTTCAGTTGTCACAAATTGAAGACCCACTCAAATAATCCTAGTCATATCGACAGAACTAATTGCATAAAATCTTCCAGAATACACAATACCAAACATTCCGTGAATATCGGTGGTAATCAAAAGAAACTCCAATTGCGGCGCAAAATTTGGCCACCTGGTGTATTTGCTTGTCCAGTACAGATGACCAGCTATATTTATTTACATCCTCGAGTCTTTCTTAACTGTCAAATATATTCTGTTGAAAAAGGCAGACGTATCATTCCGGTCCTTCGTCGGCTTCTGGAAAATTTGGCCATAACAAACCGATCTAATATGTTCTTCCTCATTGATCACCCTTCCAAAACAGATTCAATTTCTGCTTTTGCCAAGCAAAAACGACAGGCTTATTGTGACTCAGAGGCGCAGTTAATACACTCATCAGAATCTTCACAAGACCCTGTGTTTTATATGTTATTGAAAGAAATTACTACTGCAACATTTTCATCCGAGCAGCAATCAGGTCTATTAGATAAACGGACAAGTCAAACAGAACCAAAGCATTTATTAGAACCTAAGTTAAGTACCAAGATAAATAAAGTCAAACATATTTCTTCAGATGTCCTCACTTCAACCTACTTTGGCAGTTCTGAAGAAACTTCGAAAAATATTCACAAAGGCATCCGATTTGCGGGCAATTTAAAGAAAACTTACAAGCACAACGACCACATTGGGGAAAATGTTTTGCAAATAACTCTTCATGGCATAAGTCAACCTAGCAGGCGACTTTGTTCTTCTGTTCACCATATGCTACAAACTCGTTTAGATGGACTTGTTCTTCAACATATATCAGACAGTCTTTCTCGAAACGCCATTAATCGTCTTACGTTGGAGGACTTTACGTTTTTACTCAATAGGCGAATTGAACATCCCCTCATTCACTTTTATATCGCACTACCTAAGTTTCTAACGGGTAATGATCGTAGTTTGTTTGTTAGTCAAGCAGTTCTCTCTTTTTGCCACTACTTTCGACAAAATCTCCTTTTGTTCTTAACTCCAGTTAAAATTGATGATGATACTAAAAAGCGTCTGAAGGAACTAGGTAAGGCTGAGTTATATCTTTTCAATCGTCCAAGCGCTCAGGGTTTCTCTAAACATGGTGTTGCAACTATCTTGATTCAGCTTATGATAACTTCTGGCGATAAAACACCTCAAAAAAATTATAGCTTCACTAGGCCTTACGTTATTACGGAATCCACATCATCTGATGAACCTGCTTGTCCTGGAATGTCTTGCAATCTGTGTTTTCAAGACATGTCTAAAGCAATTAGGAATTTCTCTGAAGTTAGTAAGTCTGATTTACAGAAGCATCCAGTACCAAGACTTGTTTTATCAGTTCGTATGTGGGAGCGTGGACATTCTGATCTGAGCAACTTAAAGATGCGCCTGATGACTTCTGTTCATCATGCTCTCTACGATCTAATAACAGAACATCTTGTTTTGACTTCGCCATTATTTCCAGATGTAGAATGCAGCAATGATACCTTAAATAAGGAGTCTTCCCAAAACTCAAATAGTATTGACTTAGCAAATTCAGATTCAAAAGATACGTTTGTAAGTTCCAAGAATATGCCTCTGAATTTACTTGTTTTTCAATGGATGAAAGAAGGAAGAAATATTGAATCACCGCTTGTAACAGACGTCTCTACTAGCCTTTCGTCTTGTTTATTTGTTGAACAACTGATTTCGGATCTTCTAAAGCCATTTATTTCTCATGATGATAATTCGGTTCTTGATAGTTCTCCAAATACAATTTCCCGTAAACAGGATTCTACAACAGACTTCACTTGTGTATCTATTATCACTGGTGGGACATTTAGTCCCTCTGAATCAGCAGCGAGTTCAAATACTAAAAGTGAAGCAAAGTGTGAAGAGAATGTAGAGATGTTTAAGCCAGGTTTCACCAATAAATATATTATAGTCGGCCGCAATCGAAACGCCTGGAAAAGAGCTCTCAACGTAACTCAGACGGGACAGCAACCCAAATCTATTGCCATTCCAAAATCGTTAGATAAAACATCACATATCTGGCTTATTGAATTTACTTCTGATTCTGGTAAGTTTCCTTTTTACTTAACTGTTTTGATGAATTATTATTATTTTAAATGCTATAAGTACCTGCTACTAGGTATTTTTAATTTCTCGCTTCATACAGAAATAATACACTTTAACGTCTTAACATCTCATGACTCATTGGACATGCTGTTTGAAGGTGAACTGGGAAAAAATGTCCTGTAGAAATTCTGATGGTTAGCATTGAACCCAATATCTGTTATTGAATTACTGGCAAAAGTGACACTAAGTTTGGATATCTTTGTTTAAAGTATCAGTATTTATTCCTATAGTCTTGCAATAATATGGCTCATTCAGTAGCATTTCATACGTGCTAATGTTAACGTATATTAATTGCAGTAATCCATAAAATTGCATATATTTTACTTTGACCGTCAAAATACTATTAATATTAGATTAGGAAGAATCATCATGTTGATAAGTACGTATTTTTAGTATTTCCTGTTTGTGGGTTTTCTTGAATTATCTGAAGTGGAATACCGAATTGTCTAATGATTATCTATTTGGGAACAATCAAACATATTCTTCTTAAAGTTGGTTTTTAAACAACTGTATCAGCTTCTGAAAAAAACCTCATCCCGAGAATCGGCAGACGTAGGACATGCTAAAATATACTTTATGAGTCAGTGTTCTCGTCCGATCACTGCAGTTAAGCAACATTGGACCCGGTCAGTACTTGCATGGGTGACCGACTGGAAATACCGAGTGTGGCCGGCACACGGGCAGTATCCCAGCCCTCACACATATCAAAAGAGATTTGTGAGACGGATATGTATTTGGTGCCTCCTTGTACTAATATCTATGTTAAAATAAATAATAAATAGTGTTTCTTAAATCCTCAAGGAATTGAAGGAATGCATTTTTAGAAATTCCAGTAACCACCTAAAGTTAATTGTGTTTGATTGGTGTTTGAGTAGGACTAACCTTGTTTCTTCAGTATCAATATCACTCGGAGTTTGATCAAGTGTGGAGGTCTTCAGTTAATGGTAGGCATATTTTCGAATGACTCTAATATTTTAGATACAATTTACATGCATCCCTAAGCATTAATTTATGATTCAAAGCCCGACTAGGAAAACAGAGACTATTGATAGTTTTTATATAACGATTAAGAAATAAATAGTTTTACTGGGTTAGCACCTATCGATATATTTCACTCCTTTGATTTACTGTAAATATGTAAATATATTTCCCCCTAAAACTGATAGAGCACATTCACAAACAGTAATGAATGTTTCATTTGATGTTCTCCTGCTTGGGCAGTTATTTATCAATAGTGTTTGTTATTTACTCAAAATCCCGACCGAAGCTGCTACCTTGAGGCGGTGGTCGGGCTTGCCTATCGTGATGACCCAACCGAGCTATATTGGCTGGAACATATGTTCCTGTAGGTTCTACCATGCCAGGCAGGTCGATTGGAGAACGGTAAGACTAAAAGCAGCAACTCAAGGTCTGAGGGCGAAGTCGTACTGCTGACTGTAGAGCGGTGTGACAGCAGTAAGGTGTTTCCCTCGGACAACCAGCATCTGCAGCGATGCTGCCTTCCCACAAGGAGGAGTGGGGTTAGAAAAGGTCGACCCTAAAAATGTCACACCTCACCTTACCTCACGGATTCCCGTCTCCGGCGGTAAGGCCTTTTGAAGAACGGAGCTAACACATTAAAAACCTCCCACGAAAAGGCCGAGCGCGACCGGCCTCGAGCGGTTGTCCTTTGGGCTCTGCAGTCACGCTCCCAGGTCGTTAAGACCAACACTAATCCAATTTCCTTTTCAGGTTCCTCAAGAAATACCCTTCCACGGTGTGGGCAGCCTGGAAGTGATACCAGCCCTCATACCCGTAACAGCACACGAAACCAAGTTGGTCACATTCAAATCCTTCCTACACCTCCTAATACCTCTCTTATCCCCATGACTAACCCTCCTCACGTCTCTTTATCACCTCGCAACGCTAGGAAAAACGGTTCGAGTACGCGGAACGCTATTCCTGGTCTCCTGAAACCACGCTCTAAACTACACGTAGGAGCTTTTAACGTCCGAACACTGTGCCAAATAGGACAGCAGGCTTCGTTAGCTAGGACTTTAGAATCCCGCGCCATCGATGTGTGCTGCGTCTCCGAAACGCGCATACAGGATCCGAGTAGCGTCATTCATCTGACCTCACCATACCAAAATAAAGAACCGACTCGATTCACACTTCGTGTATCTGGAAGCCCGGATTCTGCTTCCCGTGGCCTCGCCGGCGTAGGTATAGTATTGAGTTCTAGGGCAGAACTAGCTCTGTTGGAGTGGATCCCATTAGACAGTCGTTTGTGCGCTGTCTGACTAAACGGAACAGTAAGGATCCGGAAAGATAGGGACACTCGTCGTTGCCTCTTCGTCGTCTCTGCCTATTCTCCCACTGACTGCAGCGCAGATGATGTAAAAGATGAGATTTACAGAAAGCTCTCCGACCTCCTCCTAAAAGCTAGGCGCTCGGATGTAATAACAATGGCCGGTGACTAATGCACAAGTAGGTAAACTAAGCGACAGGGAAAGACACCTGGGTGGATCTTATAGCATCGTGGCTCAAAGAACAGATAACGGCGACTGTCTGTTGCAGCTATGCTCAGATAACCGCCTGTTTCTTGCAAATACTAACTTTAAGCATAAGGAAAACATCTTTTAACATGGCGACCGCCTAATTCGTCCCAACGTTGGACCCAAATAGATCACATCGCTATCAGCCACCGATGGAGGGGCTCGATAGAAGACTGTTGCTCATTCTGAGGCACATGGTTAGATTCAGATTATGCTCTAGTACGAGCGCGTATCTGTCTGCGTCTTATTGGACGTAAGAAAGACGCTGCAAGTAAACCTTTTAAGGCCCTACTTAATGATAGTCAAGCTAAGAGTATATTTCAGGAACAACTAGGAGAACAGTTAGGCAGCCATGTACGTGATGCCCACCTCGAGGCAGCATGGAATGATATCCGAAAAGCTGTGGAAACAGCAATGATATCTGTTAGTACGGTAACCCGTAAAGTCAGGGAGCAACACTGGATCTCAGCAGCATCTATCACACTGATAGATGCTCGGAAACTCATTCCACCTGGCTCTGAACATAGCGAAGAGCGGAGTCAGCTTAAGCACAAGCTGACAAGAAGTCTACGCAATGATCGTGAACAGTGGTGGGTAGCGAAAGCAAGAGAGATGGAAAAGGCAGCGGCAATAGGTAATAGCAGACAATTGTTCAGACTTGTTAAGGGAACCGGTATTAGGAAACCGACTGTTAGCGAAACAGTGTCAGAGAAAGATGGACATATTATACATTCTCAATCCAGGAGATTGGATCAATGGGCAGAACACTTCAGGGATCAGTTCAACTGGCCTTCAGCCACACTTCGGTTTCCCACGATCTCCAATCAACCTGAATGGCAAATTGATGCAAGTCCTTCAACTCTTTACGAAGTTGAAAAAGCTACAGGAAATCTGAAGCGAGAGAGAGCAGCAGACACTGGCAGGTTTATCCCTGAGATTTTTAAGGATGACGGTCCAGTATTAGTAGCGAGATTGACTGAGGTCCTAGGTAGAATTTGGGAACTGGACGTAACCCCATCTGACTGGTTTCAATCACTGATTGTCCCAGTCTATAAGAAAGGACAAAAGTTCTCTTGTGACACTCACAGAGGAATCAGTTTGACTAACATTGTGTCTAAAATATTAGTCTCAATAATAATTTGACACCGAAACTAAGCTTTTGAAGAGCAGACTAGAGAAAATCAGGTTGGTTTACGACCAGAACGTGGCCGTATAGGCCAGATATTCATACTGCGTCAAGTCCTAGAACACAGACACACATTCAGACGCCCCGCAATGGTAGTATTTCTCGGATTTAAGGCGGCATTTGACTCTGTTGATCGTGAGGTTCTATGGCAGTGTTTGTCACTGAAAGGAGTACCAAAGAAGTACATTAACCTTGTAAAGGCTCTCTACTCGAACACAACTGGTTGAGTGAGAGCTTATGGCGAACTGTCATCAGAATTGATTACCTCAAGTGGTGTTGGTCAGGGCTGTCCACTCCCTCCATTCTTGTTTAACTTTGTCGTTGACGTACTTTTAGAAATAACACTTTCCTCGTCTGTATTTCCAGGGGTTGAACTTCTACCAGGAGGTTCACTTGTTGACTTGGAATATGCCGATGATATAGTTCTGTTTGGTGAGGACTGTGACAAAATGTAGAGTCTTCTGACCACCATAAGCAACAGTGCAAGCATGTTCAAGATGCGATTCTCCCCCTCGAAATGCAAAATGTTGTTTCAGGATTGAGTTGCCTCGACAGCTGAACTAATGATAGGGAGTGAAGTAGTTGAGTGTGTCGACCGCTTCACTTATCTTGGAAGTCTCGTCAGCCCTTGTGGTCTGGTGTGTGACGAAATCTCAGCACGAATACAGAAGGCTCGACTAGCTTTTACCAACCTGCGTCATTTATGGCGTAGGCGAGATATTCGTCTATCAACCAAAGGACGTGTTTACTGTGCAGCAGTTCGTTCCGTCCTACTTTATGGCAGTGAAACATGGCCGGTAAGAGTAGAGGATATCCGTAGGTTGCTAGTATTTGATCATAGGTGTCTTCGAAATATTGCTCGTATATCGTGGGACCATCGAGTAAGTAATGCAGTTGTTAGGAAACGGGTACTAGGTAAGGATGGCAAATCAATTGATCACCTAGTGAAACTTCATCAGTTGAAATGGCTGGGACATGTGGTACGTATGCCCAACAACCGACTGCCCCAACGAGCGATGTTTTGTTGTATAGGAGTAGATTGGAAGAAAGCTAGGGTAGGCCAGACCAAAACATGGCACAATGCCATGAAGTCACTGACAAGTGGACTGAGTCATGTTGGTTGGTGTAGACTACCTGGTTGGGGACCGCGAGATGATAGCAACCGACGGTTAGAGACCCTGAATGACATGGCTCAAAATCGTTTGCAATGGCGCAGGTGCATACACTCTTTGTGTTCTCCCAAATTTTGATCTCCTTATTCCTCCTTGTCTCTTTTTTTCTCTTCCCAAATTTATTTCACTGTATTATACTCTTTAAGTAACATCTCCAAACACTAATCTTCCCGATTACTGCTTATACTCTTATTACTTCTACCACTACGGGATTTGAATCGACCACTGTATCTCTGTGCTAATGTGGTGTGGCAACTCGAACTGATGTACGTACGTACGAAGTTCTACGTTGTTACTGACTGACTGACTGACTGATTTACTCAAAATTTCATTTTATTCTTCACAATATCACTTTAATTTATATGGTGCCTATCTTGGTATCAGTGTTGTTATTAATTTTTTCGTTCTGACTATGAAGAATTATTTTAAATCACGATGACCAATTTGTGTAAGTTATAACATCGTTTTTTGTCTGATGGACTTGGTTCATTTCCCTACAAGGTCGAAGTCAGACGAATAAAATTATTTATCTGTTAAGTAAAACAATTCACAGAAAGGATTATATAGACGTGAAATATGGTTTCACTGCTTTTTAGATTATGTGAGCTTCATATTTCGAATCTTCTTACGTTTCGTTAAGTAGTTCACGTTTCATTTTGAAATAACGCAGCTTAATCAGTAAAAGTGTACTATTAAATTTGCTCAGTAAAATATCAGGCTTTTAAACATATAAGTTACCAATATTTTTTCTACTGGATAGGTATTTATTATGATGCATCTTCACGAATGCAACCATTGAAAGTTAACATTTCACCAAATATTTGCTCAGTAAACATTGAATCTAATCCGCCCATCAAAAGACTTTATCGTAATGATGAAGCGTCCACTTGTGAAGCACGCTTTTTATCTAGCAATGATGCTAAGAAACGTGTAACTCAGTCATCTGATTTTCATTGGTGTCTTACAGATAGTTGTTGCAATTCCGCTCTACTTGGTAAGTTCAGTATTTGCTTGTTTGCTCTTATTCTACGGTTGTTCCAGAAATTCATGTCCCGAACATTCTAGTTTTCAGGATTGTGATGTTTTTGTTGAATTTCCAGTAAAGGTTTAGATTGTGTAATCGCATTCATTCGTTTTATACAATTTCTTTTGGGTAATGTGTAAGATATAACAGACAGTCATTTGTTTTCTATAAGCCCGCTGATAATTAGGAAAGTCATATTTTAGGCATTAACCCAGTAAGAAATCTCGTTTTCAATTTTTGATTTTGTGAAGAAATTTTTAGGTGAAGTTTATAATATTTCGTTTCAGTCTAAACTGTCTGTAGTTTGACCTGGTTTTAGACTAAGGAAGATAAGTTACCAGAAATTTATCAATTATCTCTAGTATAATTTGTGTTTATTTTGTGGTTTTACTCCTATTCGGCGTTTCATTTACCCCAGGTTGAAGAATCTAATCGATGTACATTCTGACGAGAGACTAACTTGATTTATAATAATAAAGTCCCTTCTCTTAGTTTATAGCATGCATCTTTTTACAGTTGGACTTGATAGTCTTTGTTATATTTCCTTTTATGCTCAAAAATAGCGCCCTACCGCCTAAAGTAAACTAAAGTTATTTTCCTTAATAATTCATTCGGGAATCTGACAAAACATCGAACAAATGGTTTCCAACTATTTCTTGTACAAATCTCTTAAATTTATTTTACTTCTGTCATCGTATGGATAAATTGTTTATAAATCGTGTCAAGATTTTTCACAGAATAATAATCCTCTTTGTCTTCCAACTTCTGCGTTAAGTAAGTGGAGCGGGATTCTAACCTGTGACTTCCTGGCCGAAAGTCGAACACCTTAACCACTAATCTACCGCTCCACTGCTACATATCGTGCATGATTAAGATTTTGTACTTTGAAATGAATTTACTTAAGGTTGTCATCAGTATTCCCCTTTTCAGTATCAAAGTTCCCAGAGTTTTGTCCTGTAAAAATTGGAATGATTCAACACACATCAGCTGATACAAATGATAGTGCTCATTTGGACCAAACTGATCGTTCAGATTCAAATGAATTCTTATTTCAAAATTACCCTATATTACAAGAAAAATATGGAATAAATATACATATTCCTAGACAGAGCTTCTGTCTTATATATGTAAATGGGCGTCATATTCAAATGTTTACTTATAATTGGACAAAAGAAGAAGCTGAACGTATGTCAAACCGCTTACTATTATCTGTTGAATGGTATAATCAACGTTATCAGGTAATTTTCTCCCCTTTCATTTTATTCACTTATGCCATCCGTTTTCCATAGGGTGCAACAAGTTAGTGTTGTTCCTGATTAAAAGTAAGCATCAACATAATATCTGTTTGGAACCTCATGTTTTACGTTACCTCTTTATTAATTTGTGGGAATTTACTTGTCACTGTAATTTATATTCCTTATTAATTTGGTCCAAATACTAAGTGGTGGTAGTGACTTATAAAGTTCAGAATAATCAGCTACTGATCTTTTAACAGCATCGTTTACCACAGTACTTCGCCGATAATTTCGATCCGGTGATCTCCAGACATTGAAAATCACCGCTTCCGTTTCTCACTATTTAAAAATAACTACTTGAACCATCTATCCCTGTGATCCATCTGAAAATCTTAGATTGACACACATATACTGTGATTATGATGGAGCCAAGTTAATGGTATCCTGGTCGTCACTAAAGAGGAAATTTCATAGGTTATCTTTAACATAGCAAATAATTATGATAGACAGATAATCGAAATTCTGTTGGTGATTACAAATATTTTTATGAGTAATCAATTATCGTTTGTCGTAAATACGATTAGAATCCCTATAAATGACTCTGTTCTATATCTGCTAAGTTCAGGTCTTGAAATTTGAAGATAAGCGAATAACAATCTGGATGAACTAATAAGTAATTGTTAGTCTTTGTATACCACATTTTACCATAAAGGTATCAGGTTGTTTTACTCGCTTATTTTAGCATAAATAAAAGTTTGTTCAGGATAGTTTGTTGTATTTGAGATAAAGTGTCAACTTCATCAGTTGCTATCCTCAGAATTTTTCTAGCATTACGCTATAAATGAATTTTCTTAAATTAAATAGACTTCAATTAGATCTTCGTTGTTATTTGCTTACTATTTCGTTACTGAGTTTATCATTCTACCTCATTCAATCTGTTTACCTAGCTTTTATGTTCACTATCATTTCAAAAGTTGGGCTTATTTCATGCGATCAGTAATTCAGCTTTTCGCGGTTGTGCTGCTCGTGCTATGGATTTGATACGAAATACATGCCCTCCTGAGTTAAACATTGGTACGGATTCTCCGTGTACAGCAGTTAGTCAGACTTCAAGTAATTTATATAATACTTCGCCTTTATCGTCAGTTTCATCTACACCCAATGCTCAAATTTCTGTATCAAGTATTTCTATGAATATTCTATCAGCTGTGACTTCCATTGCTCGCAGGCGAAATGTAACACCATCTACAGTTGATATGAATACTAACTGTATTAACAGCAGTAATATTTTTCACACTCCTTCCTCACCCGCCTTTCAAACTCATTCGCCATCTCTTCATGGAACAAACAATTCACGGATGGAATTTAAGGAACATAAGAGTATCAACAACTTCTTACGACTGTTTCAAGTAAGTTTACCCCCTTTTTACTAGTTCACATTACATTCTGGATTGTCGGCATGCATCCATTTTATTCTATCTTCGAATGATTAAATAATTAGTATGAGTCTTTATTCCCCCAAGTCTCTATGAAACACTAGTCATTGGTGTACTACTAATTACTTACAAATATCGTAAAACCCCACACAACTTTGCTGTGGCTGTTTTGTTGTCTGATCTATGCAATATATTCAGAAATAAAGAACGATTTCGATTAACATCTACGTTAACTGTGTCTCAATAATAAGAATACGGATAGCTTTTCACTGATATTCGGCGCGTATATCGTAGAAATTAATCACTCTTATACTTATTTCTATGTGATGTTTATCAGAATTTGATGCTTGTGCAACACTATGTTTCTCTCCTGATCGAAACTTAACGATCACCATCAAAAGTGATATTTTTGCAGAGAAATTGTTTTTGATGCTTATTTTCTTTCTATATAGTGAAAATTCCCATTTCGACATTTGGTAAATAAAGAAGGAAGAAGTTTAGGGTCGTGATGAAAAACTAATTGAAAGGAAGTTTCTTTGCACGAATAATTCATTCCTGTTTAACGTTTTCTTGTGCGTTGGAATACAGCTCGATGCGGTACATCAGGAAAATTTTCAGATGTGTGTCAATCTCGAAATATCCTCAAATTCTGAAATGCATACGATTGTTAACATAGGTGTTTGTCTGAATCCAGTTTTACCATGCGTCTGTCGGAATATCAATCAACACTTGATTGAGAGAGCTGGCAATATTAAAGTAACATCTAAAGTGGGTAACTCATAAAGTGTCTGAATTTACGGTAAGGATGAATTTGAAGCAATCGGCTGACACTAAGATTTTCATCAGAATATGAATTGCTAATTCTCTTTTGGAGTCACTCTATATTGTCACTGGGGAATTCGTACCTCATCTACCCTAACCACTCACATTAGAAGAAATGTGCATCCATATGGAATAGTTTCCTACATGTCTAATCTCAGCTATATGTTTTGTCAGTCATCATCAAAAGGCAGATATATTTTTTACGAACAGATGATAATGGAAGCAGTTTCAAAATCAATAGCGTTACTTAAAGTAACTAGTTGACAATAAATAAGATGATTCTAACAAATATTATTTATTATGGCAATGTCATTAGTTCCCGATATATGAATAATAATACAGGTGAGAGCTCAGTGCGGTACAATGCCCAGTACCTATAATCAGTTTTCAGTGTTTAGGATTTTGTAACATTCCTTGACTTTCTGATGTCATTTGGTAGAATATTCATCCAACTGTCCAAACTTCTTCACTGAGTTTTCCGTTTCAAACATTCGCTATGAGGTTGACAGAAGTGTACTTTTTGCTAAAACCATCTTCCAAACTTGAGTCAACCTCTACTTTTTGTTGATTTTATCAAGTGTACGATTAAAAGCGATTACTAATTATCGGTGATCTCAGCGATCTTGATCATCTCAAAGTTTGTTCTGACCGTGATTCTCTAAAAATTTCCGTTATTTACGTCTGAAATCTTTTGTTATATACTACCGCTTGTTATTGTGAATATGGCCATCTTTGTTTTATTTTATGCAATATTAGTTTTGTACCTGTTCTGTTCTGATATTCTAGCTAATAGTTTTGATTAAACCAAGATAATTCTGCATATTTGTCACTTTTGCTTTTGTCAAGTTTCTAGGTCCTATTTCATGAAGTCTTTATCGTAGACAATGACAATGCTGTATTCCTCTACTAGTCTAATTAACTATAATCTACTACCTACCCCAAAATGCACAAAATGTTTTCTAAACCTGTTTTAGCTATATGACTTGTTTCCATGGCAGTGTTTACTTTATACAGGATGATCATCATCCTCATCATTCGTACATCCCTTCTGAAGTCACTGTTTTTTTATTTAAAAAATTAATTTCAGGACTGTGGTTATATACCGCCTTTGATACCACCTAGTAATCCAAACTTACCGTACATTGATATGTTACAACGGTACAGTGAGCAAGCCTTAACGCTAATGCATGCTGATATTCGGCGGTCTCAGTATATCGAATTGTTCAGTGAATATTTTAGAAATTGGCAAGAAGGTGGTAAAAACAATACAGCAAATAAAGAGTCAAATCCAGTAAAATCTATACCAGTGAACAAGGATACTGGACAGAAGTTTTCTCATTCTAAGTCTGCAGTGGGATCTGTGAGTGAGACGAACTTTTTTCATATTATCAAACTAATGTTTCATATTGTTATTATTACTATTGGTACCAGTAACTAACTCATTTTCAACATAATAAACACTGTTCAGCAATTATGTGAATTAATCGTAATGTGTATGATGTATTCATACTTTATACACCAAAGAATATTAGGAAGAGTTTTTAATACCTTGAAAATTCACTGGTTTTCTACGTTGAGGTTGCTAATTTTTCGCTTCAGACAAATTGGAGGAAATTGAAGATTTCAATACTGTTGTATATGATCTCACACACCAAACCCACACACTCAACATCACAACAAGCGGCTGATGTCTGAAATATTTGATGTTTAAATTATTTCCCGGTCATATACCTACATAATACTCCCTAGATTGCTATACATTGTGATCATTTTACTAAGAAAAATGTTGACTTGACACTTCACTCCCAACCACTAGGTTGGAAATTCAGACCTAGCTCCATTTGTGTCGGTTTGGCCAACCCAGTGTGTATGTGGCTCATAACCGATCACACAAAACTGTTCACGGTAGGTTTGTTGAAATAATCATTTCAATTAAATGGGTGAGTATGCGAATATTTCAAACGGTATGCACCTAAATCCAACGTTTTACCTAATTTGTGAGATTAACATCATTCAAGAAGAATGATTTTAATCGTCTTCGACTTTCTGTGTTTAGCCTCATATTTGTTACCATTTAAGGATTAAACATACTTTAATTTCGGTATTTACAAAGCTGTTAGAATTTTTGACAATAGTTTACATGGGACCGTAGTTGATTGATAGAAGGTTATATTATTTTGTTTCTTTTCTACTTGAACGATAGATTTGTAATAATTTAACATTTTTTCGTAGCGCTACTAACATTTAGTAATCTGATACAGTCACCGAAGTGCTGTATAATGGGATATCTAAAATTTTGAAACAATGTCTTGTACGGACGACTATGCAATCCAAATTATGTAGAGACAGAAAATTGACAACAGCATTTTCTAAATGGTTGTTGATTTTAAGATTTACATGTGTACCACATATGCTCCTAGTTAATAACTATGTAACTAACAATTCCAGTTCGAATTATCATCCCACTCAACCCTATTTTAATATGAAATGCACCTGTAAGATTTTGACGGGGTAGAATTTTCGACTAGATAGTTGTTCTCTTTGGTACTGCGTTCTCTGAATTACATGTAATAATTTCGGTGCATTTATCGTTCTGGAAAATTATTATTATTAGCTTTATGCAATACTATATTTTTGGTACAATACAGAATTTTGAGCACAAAGTATTTCAACAAGTTTCCATTTCTTACTTCTAGGTCGATCCTGACGATAAATATTGGGTGGTTGCCAGTTAGAAGTTAGCAGTCCAGGAATCGACATCTGAATAATGTACATTCTTTTCGCTGCACATTACCAGCAACCACAATGTCTCTGACTGGGCTTTTTTGTAACTCGTACAGCGAAAGATTGTAAACTTTTCACAAACGCACCTGAATAGGTTGTATGATTAGTAAACATAATGATGTGTTAAAACAAGCAAAAACAGATAACTTGTAGAAATATCTTGAGGGTAGGAACAACCAGCTCAGATGTACAAGCAGGCTGTTTACTTCTTGTATGTGCCTACGAACAGTAAAGTACAACTTCTGTTGCGTAACTCATGTACTAGAGACAACGTTAGTCAGTAACTACAATTCTGCTGAGTTCAAATTGCTCGTCATAGCAACTGAGTTATCCTAGTTTTTCAGAACTGTTCCTTTTAGGAATTAAATTAGCATTAAAATTTTATGTGGTTCATTGTGATCTATGTTCATCACCTTCCTTCTCTTAACTGTGTTGAGCGATGGCACAGTAGTTAAAACATCCTACTTTTAGCCACTAGGTCGCGAGTTCGAACCCCTTTCTACCTTCGGTTCCGGCAACCGGATAGTGTCGATAGACTTCACACTTAAAGTATGGCTTGAAATTCAAGTGCACAAACCTGTAACAGGTAAGTTAACAAAAAGGTCTTTTAAGGTCATACAATAAACGCAGGACTAAGTTTGCGCAAATATTCTGTAAGTTACAACGACTTGTTATTTCTGATAGTCTCATTCCTTTCCGTATATGTTACTATAACTGTATATTGTATGTCTACATTTGAATCACTCAATAATTTTAGAAATGTATTGTAATGCTATGTTATCATGTTTTCTAGATACACCTGACATCATAATTCCGTTCATATATATCACGTTCTCTAGAATTTATTGATTAGAAATGCATGTTCACTAAAACACAGATTTGTTTGTTTTTCTATTACTTCCATAATCTTATATTGGTCAGTACTTTCGAAAACTACTGTTTGCTATCAGTCGCAAATTAAATACTGCCATATCGGTTTTTTAACTTAAAGGATTTATCTTGTGACCATCTCAAAGTGATCAGTCATTATCCCAGCAAAGATCCGTGAATTTCAATAAGTAGCATATAATTTACTATAAGATCACTATATCGCTTTTTTCAATAAATGAGTTATTTTTAGTTACCCGATCAACCATAATAATAATCTTTTTGTGATCAGTAGTGAATATTGTCGGTAAAACGCGTCTGTATATGAACCTCTGTAGTAAAGTCTATTTTTCCATTTTCTCAACGGATGATCATAACCTTTGTGTTATTGAAGTGGTTTTAGGTATCTTAAAATGTAGGATTTGTTATACCTAATCTTGTCTGATCAGTCATTTGAGTGGGTTCCTATTGTGTATGTTGATGATACTATGATAAGGCATTTTATACAACCATGATTAACTGGAGATGGATATCACAATGATTATTTGCTTTATGGCCATTCCTACCTATAGTTAATCACTATTTTGTATTACAGTATTGCCTGTTGGAGTTTATATATTGCCAGTCTTCTAGACACATTTTATTCTCTCCCCATGCAATTTTCGTCTAATATGATTAGGCTAAGGAACTTCTGCCCAGTGATCAATTGTTCAAACGGCTACAACGTTATTCGGCTATTAAACAAGCCTGTCGTCACTTGCACACCATATGTACTCCCATATTATTTTGTCCTAATACACGTTCAAAAGTTGTGCAGCTAATCAAAGAAGAAGAAAATGCTATGAATAAAACAGCTCAGTTATACTTCAGTTCTATTTCACGTCATTCTTCTGCAGCTACACCTACGGACATCACCGTTACTTCTGCCAATAATACTGATTCTACCATTTCTGACTTAACAGTACATAAGGAAATAGGTGATTCGGATAAAATTCATTATCATACCGAACAAACTACAAACCAGTGTAAATCCAGTGAAAATGAATCGGGCTCTTCAAAGGAGTAAGTTATAGAATTTTTCTGTTTCTGTTTAGTTTTGAAAGTGCACAATTCAGCCAAATTAAGAACATCGTGAATCGATAACTGAATTCTTCCATGAAGTGAGATTATCCTACAGTAAGCAATTAACAACTTTAGACCTTTTTTTATTTAAAACAGCAAATCTTCTATAAGGGGCCATCAGTGAGATTATTTTGAGATATGGGAATGAAAATATTAAGTCTTGAGTGTCATCTTGTCGATTGGACTGCATAGACTACACAAAATAAAAGATAAAATGTACGTAGGTGAAGTGATTCCTAAGCATTTGTTCTTAGATGAAAATTACAATGGCATATCCTTAATTGTCTAGTTGCTAGCTATTGAAATGAATTGATTAGCTGATTTTGAAGTAGATTTGCATGTATTTCAGATCCTAACACACCAAAAGTTTGAAGTCTGAGAATTTTTAGAGCTTTTTACTTTGTAATAATCCTAGATACGTTTCAATTGTTGTCGTAAATAAATTGGCCTTTAATCAAATGTTGATTTCTCAAAACTTTCCAGTTTTTCTGTAAAGTCAACTCCTGTTAGACTAAAACAAGTATCGGACGCCGGTGGGAGTCGTTTTTTATCCCCGTGGCTAAGTTGGTCACACAATTCAGCTACTCCGGGTAATCTTGATGACACAAATATACTTTCAACGGATATCTTACTTGCTGATAACAATTCATGTGCTGACAATTCGCATCGTCACGATAGTTGTTTTACTTCCGTCTTAAACTTCAATAATTGGTTACGTCGTGTAGCTCACCAATTTCTAATGAAATATTCTCAATATTTGCAACAAGAAGTAGGCTTTCATTCAATACCGATTTTCAATAGTTCCGTTTCATTAAATAGACGTGAACAGGCAGCAAAACCTTATATTAACTATGCACTGTTTCGTCGTTCTATACACTTGGCTGGAGTACATATAATTGAGGTTAGTTGCTTTATGTTTAATATATTAACTGTGAGACTAACCCTCAATATTCTCCCATCTTTCTTAACTTTACTATGAACTTGTGTTTAGATAACTAGAAAACGTGTTTTTTAATCCTATAACGATGGGTTCGAAAATTGCTATACCTACTCCTATCGTAATAATCAAACAATTTCGTTTTTTTGTTGAAAACTACACGTGCTTCCTGCGAGCGAGTAATGAATGTGTAATGAGAAAATGAAATTGATGTGAAGAAAACGTACTATGTTGTGACGTCATGATGCCCGCTACATTTTAAACAATGAGGTCACCAACGTTTTTGTTTTATCAGTCAGCTAGCAACAACGTAGAACTTCGTACGTACGTACATCAGTTCAAGTTGCCATACCACGTTAGTACATAGATACAATTGTTGATTCAAATATCATAGTGGTAAAAGTAGTAAGAGTATAAGCAGTAATCGTAAATACTAGGGTTTGAAAATGTTATTCAAGGACTATAATCCAGTGAAATAAATTTGGAAAGAGAAAAAATAAGGGACATGAGAATTCAGAAGATTAAAATTTGGGAGAACACGAAGAGTGGATGCACTCGTGTCGTTGCAAACGACTTTAAGCCATGCCATTCAAGGTCTCTAACCATTGGCTGCTGTCATCTCACGGATTCCAACCAGGTAGTCTACACCTACCAACATGACTCAGTCCACTTGGCAATGACTTCATGTATTTGTGCCGTGTTGTGGTCTGGTCGCTCCTAGCCTTCTTCCAACCTACTCCTACACCATAAAACATCGATTAAATAAAAATTGATTATTAGATTTACTAAAGAGTAAGAGTGAGAGACTGTATCATATATTCTACATAACAGAATATAAACACCTAGTTTATGATTGATGAGATGTTTTATCAACATTGTATTTATTTATCATCTTGATATAATTCGGTTTCAGTGCCTTTTTGTCTTAAAAAATTATCAAACTACTTCTAAGTAGTGCAGCTGTACACTAAAATAACCCATCAAAATTGTTCTTTGAACTATTGGACCTAATATTTACCGACCTTTTCATAGAATTCACTGTACTTGACTTAAAATTTCTGACGTCATTCTTACCGAAATAGTTAAAACCAAATAGATTGATGGTAACATGCATAGTTATCATCACATTTTACCTATTATTACCCTTACGCACATAATGTAGAATTTGTAGTATAAGCCTGCTAATCCTTCTTTGGTTTACATTACTGCTGAACGACATTCTGAACTAATCACTGGACTTAATTCAAAATTTCTGAATTCAGTTTCGACAAAGCAAGTTTTTGTTTGCTTTTACCATATTCCTTTTTTTGTTATGGTATTTGCTATGCAAGACCAACCACTGCCGACTCTGCCACACCATACTGGCCAGCACAGAAGCCATCTGGAAGAACATCAGGCTTGGCCAAAACAAGGCATAACATCACTCCATCAATCCTTTAACTTTTGGTTTGACCCATGTATCGAGATATAGGGATCCCTGTTAGACCTCACGTGATAATCGTAATCTTTGGCTAGAGATTTTAATGACATGTCTCAAAGTTGGCTTCAATGAAATCGCTGTACTCATTATCTACATTTCATTCGGCCCTTTTTATACTTACATCTCGCTAGTTCTGTTTCAAATATATTTCTCATGTTTACCTTTCTATTTCATTTAATAATATTTCTTTCCTTTGCTTTTCATCTCATCCTGTTGATTCCCTCTCTTACAGCTTGGATGTTGAGGTGTAGAAACTTGAATACATTCGTTTTATGTTATAAGTTCTGTGTGTTACTTACAAACTAACTTCATTACTTCCTTCGGACAGCTGAGGGAATCGTCAATCTAGTCCACTTAGGTCATTAAAAAAATACAAGAAATTCAACCACCTTGCTCTATATTACTAGATTTTCATATATATAATTAGAATTCGTTGAATTTTCTCACTGGTAACTTCGTATATATAATACAGTAAAGTTAACCTCCGTTTTCAACTATCTTTATTACTGTCAGGAGTATGATATTCAGAATATATTTGGATATTTGTAATAAAGTGAAGAGACGTAAATTCGGTACATCTAAATGTCGTCAAATTAAATGAGTTTTTCTGAATGTTTAAACCATTCGGTTGTTTATTTTATTTTCGTAAATGTAATTAGATTCTTTAGAATTCCATTGTGAGGAATTCGGCTTCATAATTTCAAACACATTTCATTTATCTTCGGTAAATTTCGATAATTGTTCGTGAAAGCCACTAAAAAACCGAAAATCGTCTCCCATATACTTTGAATCAGCCAAGATACTTGATGATTCCTAGTAAATTCTAGAAGTTTGGACGTTTATTCTTTTCTTAACCGAATTGAATTGACAGTTAATCTATTACTTATTTTAGTGTTTTTTTCATAAGGTTCCTCAAGTTTTAGGTCCCTCGTAACAGCTACATTGATGACCCTTAATTTCTGTAACGAAACTAACTCTAAAAGTAAGCTTCAGTTTTATTCCCGCCTTGCAAACTGTTCCGGTTTCAAGTGTTGTGAATCAATCGAATTTCAGAGACCGAATAAAACGTCATCATTTCAAGCTTTCTGTGTACGTAGTGATAACAACTTAAGGTGATCAAGGCGCATTGTTATTCTTGATGCCGATTTATTACAGCACCACACAAGTCGGATTTGTAGAAATCTGGATTGTTTACCCCTTATTACGCAAATGTAAACAACATGGTGTTAATGAATATTTGTTTGGTGAATGATAGTGGTGGTTACAATTAGTCTATAAGTTTCAAATTCAACATGTCTTTAAAAGTTGAATACACGACTGATTAAAATGTCACCATCGTTTCGGTCCGTTCTATGAACTATCCACTGCCTGTATTTCGTTATAAATTGCATGTTAGTACTTTTTAATACGTAATTGAGTGTCGTGCTGTTCGTATAATTTAATTAATAATTAATTGTTTCTTATTTACTTCAGCTGTTTGTCCGCGATTTTCATCTGTTCGTTAGATTGGGTACTATCGAAGTTAGTCGTTTTAGCTGGCATGCTTCACGTTCTGTAACACTTGGGCCGTATACATCCGAAGTGATTTCTCAAACGGCAGCATCAGCTGCAGCCAGTATGACATCAGTTATGTTCAATGCAGTTTTTCGTCGAAATATGGAGAGGTCATTTCGTTCGCCTAGTGCTAATTCTTCTTTTAATATCATATCTAGTCCATCAGATGGGAAGTATTCTGATTGGTTTGAGTATAGTAGTAATCTTTCGTGGAACGAATCAAGTAAACTCTGTGACTACACACATCTCCATTCATTTTCGTACGACTTTCATTTGCGTGCAATTCAAGATTATTTAGAAAGTGAGTATTTAGTTGTCTACTCTAAATAATCCAGTTATTATGCGCTATTATTTCATTTAGTCGATTGCGATTCATGGTTAACCAATTAAATAAACCGAGTTTGCAGATAGATTCTTGTTCAAGTGCCTTCTTAACACTTGCCTGACATGTCCATTTCTAAGTAAATCCATTTCGGTGTCCGAAATCAATGTTATCGTATGTTTGTAGAAATCAGACCAAGCTTGGAATGTTTGAACAACGGTGTTCTTATCAGTTCCTCGAGGTGGATACATAGAAAAAAGACTTAACCAGATAATATTTTTTAAACCACTGTTAACTTCCACATAATTTGTGCGTTTTATTGTCAACGTACCATATTTTATTCTCCTTTATAAAGTTTTGCTATTCATAATCACAGAGTCACTGAAGCCATACTTAATAACTTGCTCGTGTTATCGCTAGTGGAAGAGCATAGATCGCCCACCAGCATTCTCCATCAACCTCTGTCCTCGACAATCCTTTCCAGTTGCTATTCATCCTTTTCATGTCTGCTTCCGATTCCCGACGTAGTGTGTTTTTCGGCCTTCCTCTTTTCCGTCTCCCTTCAGGATTCCAAGTTAGCGCTCACCTCGTGATGCAGTTTGGTGATTTCCGTAATCTGTGTCCTGTCCACCTCCAACGTCTTTTCCTAATTTCCTCTTCAGTTGGAAGCTGGTTTGTTCAGTATCTTGCGTAGAAAATTGTTTACAAATACTTGTGCTTTTTTGGTGACGGTTGTAGTAGTCCTCCAAGTTTCAGCTTCGTACAGTAGAACTGTCTCGACGTTCGTATTGAAGACTGTGACTTTGATGTTGGTTGACAGTTGTTTTGTGTTCCAAATGTTCCTTAATTGTAGGAATGCTGATATCGCTTTGATAATCGTTGACTTTACGTCTGTATCAGATCCCCCTTGTTCATCGATGATACTGCCCAGGTAAGTGAAAGTTTCCACCTCTTCCAGAGTTCCTCCATCAATTGTGATTGGTTTTGTGTTCTCTGTGTTGTATTTGAGGATGTTGCTTTTTCCCTTGTGCATGTTGAGGCCTACTGATGCAGAGGGTGCTGCTACACTAGTTGTCTTCATCTACACTTGTTGGTGTGTATGGGACAGCAGTGATAGGTCACCTGTGAAGTCCAAATCGTCTAGTCGCATCCAAGCTGTCCATTGTATTCCGTGCTCTCCCTCAGATGTCGAGGATAACATTCACCGTGATTCCCTTCTTTGTTTTGAAGGATGGTTTAATGATCCTGGATCCGTGAGATTCACATCCTATAAGTGCATTACGTTCTTCTTTGAACAGCATCCGAGCAATTCCATGAATGTGTGGAGCATTTTCCTCTTCGTAACCGGAGTACAGCAACATCTCTCCCGTATCTAGGCTTTGCTGTCCATCTTGGGTACAACGGGTTTCGCTGATTCCTAGAACCACCAATTTATATCTCTTCGTCTCCACAGCTACTTGTTTGGTTCTCCTGGTCTCCCACATTGCCCGAACATTCGATGTACCTTTATTAATTGCTGTTGAGGTTGTCAGAAGGGGCGTCGGTCTCGTGACTTCGGGAGAATCTCACCTTTGACCATGAGGCTTCGTAATTCTTCTAACTATAGATCCTTCAACTCGGAGGGCAGAGTTTAAGTGGTTTAATTATTTTAATCTGGGGGACGTTTCTTTAGAAAGGTTTTTATTTACTGGATGGGATTGCCGACCCTATGCCCAACCCTCCTCTTTTACCCAGGCTTGAGACCGGCAGTAACTGAAATACAAAGTTTTAGCAGCACTTTAGTAAAGCCTTAAAAGCATTTTCATTTCATCTACAAAAAAGTACATTGGTAATTCATGTATCCATTTCCGTTAAAATTTGTTGTTTTCTTTAACTGTACGGATGGAAACTTTTCAACTGGTTTTTTTTCAGCGGTTGAACTCCATAAAATCAACATCCATTCATCTTGTCACTTTAGCAACTACATGTTCATCATACTGATACTAGCAGTTCAAGTTTAGTTTTCATGCAAAACAGGCCTTGGGTAAACCTACAATGTTAAAATTTCTTTACTGATCAATTTTGTGCAACCTATTTTGCAAGATTATACACTTATTTATTCATTATGGAATATTCGTTGTCATTTGTCAAAAAATAGAAGTTATTACAAGTGAACCAGTTTCGGTTTCTCTTGCCATCGAAAATATCTGTTCTAGTTGTGACTTTTTCTGATTCATTCAAAACGCACTTGGACATTATCTTCATTATTTCTCTTTCAGATTGTTTTATTAATCCTCTCTGTATTTTTTCTCATGTAACATATCGTACTTTGAGGCTGTTTACACTGAATCCGGATACTGAATAGTGTAATCACTTAAGTGTCTTTTAAAAACGTTTAGTGTTTTTTAGTGTTAAGTGATGGTAATGACTGAATTTCATGTCTCGGAATTCTTCTTCACCGTTTAGTTCTCTGTTGTTGGTTACTCTTTTTAACTTAGATCGACGATGCTTTCAACGAAGTCAGTGTTCTGATGCATCACGTAGACAAACTAGTGCAGTTGGAAGCGTATATTCTAATGTGATTACTATTCCCGACTACCCTGTCACAAAATTTCTAGAAGATTTAACCTGTATTGCTCAAAAATTACCACTCTTTTCTCGGGGTTACTTATGTTGCTTTCCTGTTACATGCCACGTTAGTTTATGTCTGCGACCAGACCAAGTTTTTCATCATCTTATCGAAGAACATGCTTCCTACGGTGTAGATGTGAGTTCAAATAAAGATTTTATTCGCGTTTGATTCTCAACTCACTTTTATATTTACTTCCTTCTAAAGTCATGTTCCCTGTCTAATCACTTCTACTACTACAATACTTTGATACTTTCGCCACAAAGTACTAATTTGTTGTGGCGAATTACGGAGATATTCATTTCTGCTAGGTTTTTACGTTATTTATGACTGACTTACTTGCCTATACTCATGACCACAGGTGGCTTTACAATTAAAGAACTATGCTTAGTCGATTGACTGGTCTAGCAGAATCGCCTTAGGTTAAGGTTGGTATTACTATCTGTCAACAGCAGCGCTGTAAACGCATCGTTGACACAGCTTAACTATTAAATTCTGTTGTCTTTCACTGAGTGGTTAGATTGTCACTCAGCCATGTTGACCTTCACCGAAATTTAGTGTGGATAAAAGAACCTTATGGAACCGTTTTCGACACGATGGTGTGACTGCAATGGCTGTCACTATCAAACGAAATCCATATGACGGACCACACTGCATGGAGGACAACTGACAGATGCATTCCAAGTGAGAACCGGAGTCAGACAAGGCTGCTTACCCTCGTCTTTGCTCTTCCTTCTGGTGGTCAACTGGATTATGAAGACCTCGACATCTGAGGGAGAGCACGGAATACACTGGACAGCTTGGATGCGACTAGACGATTTGGACTTCACAGGTGACCTATCACTGCTGTCCCATACACACCAACAAGTGCAGATGAAGACAACTGTTAGAATAACTTGGGGAACTGATTCAATCATACTGTTCATTTGTATTATCAAGTATGTTTATAATACCTCAGTATCTGTTTTCTTAATTTTCAGCTGCTTAATATCTTTCGGCCCTAGTTTATAGACCTAATGACTAATAGTTATCATACAGGTCTGTAACTGTTTATACTCTTTGTATCAAACTACATGACTCATATCACATTGTGTAACCTTTCGGAAGTACATGAAATGCACACTTCAGTTTCATATTACTTAATAAAAGTAAATCATACGAATTATAAGAAAATATCCTTCACGTTTTCTGACAACATAAACAAACTATTTGTGTGAATTACTTTTATCTTATACACTTGCTTTCTCTGTTAAAATAGATTCTACGCATGACTAGACGGGAATATAGTGCTTCCCAAACGAATCCGCCATATAACAAACATTTATCATATAATTTTGCTTTAGTTGAGCAATGTCATCCTGAACAGGAATCTGGATGTTGTAGTTCACGTTCAACCAGTTCAGATCATCATTCAAAATATCAACCATGTTCAAATTTAAGAATGTCTTCTGAATCGAATTCTTCCTCTACCACTAACAGTAAAGATCAGTCTTGTAAATTTTCCGCTTTGGGAATAGCTAGTGCACATCACATTGTTGAGAATTTAACAAAGCTTGATAGTGAACTTTCTAATAGACAGTCAATATCCCAACCTTATTCAGTAACAGGAATTGTTGTTCCTGATGAAGTTAACGGAACTTATTCGGATATTAGATCACCAGTAGATGGATCTATTACAAATAGACTACTTCATTTGGTTGTATATCTAATTATTCTAGATTCAAAACATGAATTTCCAGAATCTAGACTTGCAAAATTAAATTCAAGTTCATGTACACAAGTAAGTTTTTTTAACAATTTAATGTCTGTAGTAAAATTTGCGTTTTCAAATAAAATTTATTTACCAGGTTACTATTATTAGCAACATCTTTTTCTGACGGGTCAATGCATGTTGGTAACACTGCTCAAGAGGATACCTTATCATTATGTGTTAGTATCTCCGAATTCTATTTAAGTTATCTAGTCTCGTGAATTGAAAGTAATCTAAAACCATTACAATATTACTTTCAGAAATTATTAGTTTGGTCTAAGAATTCGAAACATGTCTGTGTACGTTTGTGTATTGATTTTCAACTTGAGGTGAACATTTGGTCTTATTTTTCCACCTTCTTTCACTTGTTTTTTTTTTTAATATTGACCTCTGGTGCTTCAATAGTACATGTCTGAAGTGAGAGATAATCAATACCATTAACAACAAGGTAAATATTGTAGAACATGATATGAATGTATGGTTTAGGCTATCATACTTCACCCCATCACAAGGGGAGGTAACAAACTGTAGTCAGAACTAACACATCATTGGTCACCAATGCTTCGTAGATGTAAATTTGCATTAAACGTAATCACATTCTGTTACAATTTCTATATTAGTTAACCAGATTAATTTTAGTTGTGTTGGCACTACCGTTAAGAGTAATAAACACGTTGTTGGTCACTGATTAAAAAAATATAATTATTCTACTCACAGGCACCGTTTTGGTTTGAGAATAATTCATCTCAATTTATTAAAAAATCTGTTGTTATCACGATGACCAGTTTTGTCCTGGGGGAGTTTGCTTTGTGTTCGTGAATATTTTCCAGGATCAGGTTGAAAGATGGGGGAAAACTTCTTCAAGACCTTTAAGGATGTATGGTGAACTGCAAGTGTCGATATTTATTTACAACTTGAAGTGAACGCAGTATATGTCTTGTCAAGATTTTCGAAGTTAATAATGTTAAGTTTGTCGGCAATAATGTGGTGTATTCCATCGATTATATTGATGTGTGAATGAACATAAATGGGTTTTTCACTGATTTGTTGATGTTCATCACATAGATTCATATCAATCTAGAGAGTTTAACGGATAAGAGGTTGCTTCGAAATATCCATAATATCTGGTGCAACCAGATAGAATGATTCTTATGTATTCAGTGGTTCCACTATTTTATCGAGGATTTATCTGAGCTAATTACGCTGTAGAAAAAAGGATTTTTATTTTGTATTCAGTGTATTAGAGCTAAATTTATAGTAGTGCTGATGAAGTTCTTAATAGTTATTATGTCACATGTCTATCTTAAATATCAGTATAATCCTACATATAAATTACGATGAGTTATTAGCGCGAGTGAAAATTTGTGATCATACACTAGATCTTCTCGTAAATTGATACGTGGTAACCCGATAATGGTTGAAATAGGTCAAATATGATTAAAATAATGCGATGAACCTTTTCAAAATATCACATTGTATGGTTACTATTTTAGGAGAAAAATGATTGTCGACTTAACTTTCAATCTTGTAAAAAAATAATAATAATGACTAAGTCTTTATTCCTAAAGACAGTGGTTAATTTACGCTTGTGCGAAATACGTAGAATTTCATTTTATTTAATTAAAATGTACTTCATTTTAAATATGTTACTATCATCTTTTTGTATACAGTATTCATAACAAAATCATGCTATAATCTCATAACATTTTAGTTTTCAGCTCAAATACTATTCATCTAGTTAGTTGAGCCTTATTGTTATCTCACAAATCACCTTAATTAATTTGGAACCCGTGTGGGACTGGGTAGATGAAATACATACAATTTTTGTTTGTTTTTTGTTCAAACTTACCTGTACATGATTTGAGCATTTTGTTTGTTTCACAGGTATACAATTCATCGTATACTGTAGTTATTCCTTAGTGTTATGTCCCATATAAACCAGTTTTATAAATTTTATTCAACATTTACGTAGCTACCCAAAATGCATCGGATAATTTTCGTCAAAATGTGTTTTTGCGTTGTAATTTGGGTTACTGCAACATAAAATATTTGTTAGTTCGTTTAATAAATGAAAGAAAAGTGTTTGTTTGTTCACAATAACCGTACATATCATAATGTTTCCCACTTCTGTGCATTTCACCACTTTCTACTGAATTAGATTCTTTGTTTGAATGAGGTTATTAGACAATATAAGATAATTAATTGCTTGAGTGCAGAAATCAGTAGAAAAGATCTTATTTAGAAAGGAAATTCATATTTTTATTTTTGAAACGAAACACTTGATGATCGTTTCCACTGTCATCTAATCATCTCCATACATCAAAGTTCCAACGTGTTTTAATCAGATGTAATTTAATCTGAAAATTTTATGAGTTAGTTTCTGTATGCAATAAACAACTATCTAAACAATTTTTAACTTGTAGCTCTTTTAATTCTAGATCAAGATTCCGTAACTATCTCGACCTTTTTTTCAATTAACATGATTAACACGTTCTGTCGGTTTTGGTTGAAATGTTGTTTTGCAAATCTAAATATTACTCTCCTATGTTACTTATCTTGAATAAATCTTGCAATGGTGTTTTAATGTATTATTTTGATATTCCAGACCTGTTTATCACAATGTTACAAGATTTATTTACAATTTTACTAAAATTAGTAAAGACATCAATGACAGTCAATCAGAGAAAAATAATGTACATAACTCACTTTCTAAATAAGCTAACTTAACAGTAGGTTGAAAGTAATATCTGAGAAACTTCTATTTATATGCCCGCATTATTTTATTATTTCAATGTTAATATGGATAATGGGTTCACCATTGGGTCATATACTAGCTGCCATCTTTCTAGCCGAACGAGAAAATGGTCCACTCAAAAAGATTATCCAAATATTCACATTTTACTGTCGACATTTGGATGAATACGATCATCCTCTGCAAAGATAATGCATTACAACGAGAGGCTCTTAGGCAGTTTAATGAAATAATCTAGCCATTGAGTTTACGTCTGAATAAGAGAGTGATAGCAGTATAGTCTTTTTGGACGTTCTCTTAAATAAGAGAGCTGATGGATCATTAAGAAATTTGAACAGAAAAAAATACCTAGACAGGGCTGTACACATTTTTCTTTAGCTTTGTACCTCTACAGTACAAAAGAAATTTGTTCAAAACTCTTAGTTACCGAATACTTACTGCATGTTCTACGGATATGGTTGAAGCAGAGTTAACCACCTTGCGTAATACTTTTAGGGAGAACAAACACCCTAGAAAGATTATAAATAAATATATGATCAAGAAGGTGGAAATACGCAAAACACAAACGGTGAATAAGAAATCCATGTTCATGAGCCTACAATTTAGAGGGAATGTAGCTAGCGAAATATTAACTCAGAGATTACGCAGAACAATCCAAAAATCATTCAACGCCGGAGAACTATGACACCGAGGCTTAAAGATGAATTACCTAAAATGACCACCTCATTTTGTATTTATCAGTCCAACTGCTCCTGTGGAGTAAGTTGTATTGGCCGAAGTTCTAGGAATTTATATTTTCGTGCTCGAGGAACACCTTCCAGCGTGGCTAAGTAAAGGTCTGATGAAGAAAGTGAACATCTCTAGTGTCAGTACAAACCAATCCTCTTCAATAATTTATCGGGTCAGTAATTGCCAAAGCTTGTCAAACTTAAGGGCCTTCAAACGGCTGAAACAGTAGCCACCCGGATTAAGAAATTGGAGCTATGCGTACAAAAGAAATATTTTCAACTGCTTCTCCCCTAGCCAACCTCAAGGCCAATTATTCAATAGTAATCTTGGCTATTGAATGACCTGGTTTGACCACTGTACTCAAATGTAATTGTCTCTGTTATATTTATTCACAAATCTTTGTATTATTATTAGCGAAGATGGATGGTGGCTAGCAGTGGAATCCAGGCCGGTCTTAATATAAACATAGGTTCATGAATAATACTAGAGTGACTGGTTTAAATCTTGATAACGCTCACTAAAGTCAAGGCCTCATACAGTAAATTTTAGTTTTCAAAATTCGAGACAGTATGTATTAAAACTGGACTTTTGAATTCAAGAAGACGTAGTAACGAATTCGCTTATAAATGAAGCTGAACTACTTGGCGAGATTTAGGCGTTGTAGTTCGTTAAAATTGTTTTTCGGGGGTACTGTTTTGAACGTTTATACACCTTCAGTAACATCATAAGTGAGTTTAAATTCAGTTGGATAGATTAATTGATGATTCATACTTTTCCCTATGTTTACTCTTAAGTGTCCAGTTGATTGGCCAGCTATTCGCCCTTGCGTTGATCCGTGTTCATTTACATATCAACCAACCCTTGTCAATCGGATACCTAAACCATTTGGCATTGAGGATACAGATATTTCTAGTTTGACAGCGGAACGACAATGTCAAAATCTGAATATCTCCCCTACGGACTCTGGCGACTATAGAAGATTTTCAAAGCACTCTGAAAATACTTTCGACAGCGATGTACGATGGCACATGTCCTACTTAAGTATGTGTCCTTCTCATCAAGTTCAATTACATCGTGTACTTCGAATATCTCAATCCAATTTAGAATCTCGGATAACACAATTAATTGGTCGGTCTGGCGTTGATTGTCATAAGAATCTACTCTGGTATAAACTGTTCGATACAAATTCTTCTCTGGCTACTCAGATTCTTTCGACGAATAGTCGTTCTTTGTCCCAAGATGCTGTTGAAACCAACTGTCGAGTGGAAGACGCTTCATCTATTTCTTTAGGCACCAACCTGAACCCGGTAGATAGTTACCTATGTCCTGTTCTGAACCATCAGAGTCTGTCAATGCGAGAGATAGAAGTAATTTTTTTTATTGTAGTCTGTTTCTTCCTATTAATTGAAATGTGATTAATCTTATATCGACTCTGCATTGTAAACTGTTTTAAATTTATATTTCGTTATATCACGACGGTTCTAGGTTTTGAAAATATCATGTCGCAAAAGAGTAGTTAGCCTAAAAGCACTATATATCCTAAAGAAATAGAACAACATGAACACCATCAGACTTACTTTTTAGTTTACCACAGTTGTCATCTAAGTGAGCATATTACTTTTCTTTAGCCAATTAACTAATTTATCTTATAATAACCTTGCAGATAGTTTTCATTGGTAAATATAAAACAGATAGGAAAAGTTTCACTAACTTATCACATTCCCAACTGTTATATTTATAAAAGCACTCTGAAGAAACCAATATGGAGAGCAACATAGCAATATGAATTATAATATAAGTGAAAAGGAACTAAGTAAGAGAAATGACATACCATTTTATTAAGTATAAGTTACATATACATTCCTTTCTTGACGAACCTATTTATATAGATTTTTAGTATATTTATATTGTCGTCATAAGTGAACTCCTCGATGCTCATTTTGTTCTACGTGAAACTTAATTTTTGTTGACTCGTATCGCAAAAGACAGGCATGATAAAAAAAAATCTACTGATTTCGAAACGAAATTATATATCAGTGTTCTTTTGAGTTTAAAGACTATTGTTGTCCTTTCGAAAATCTGCTTTCAAAACTCCCTTACAGCGCAAATGTTTTTGATTTTAAAAATAATAAACGCATTTCGCTGACTAACAAATATGATATCAAGGTTCAAGACATAATCCGGGTAGATATTTATTGATTTAGCCTAATAGTCTAACTATACTATGTATTCTCATGGACAGGACTTAGTCGATATTTAATACCATAGTTTAATATTAATTACCATCGTGATATTGACTCTTATGTGTGAGCACTATTCTTGTTAATTTATATTTGCATTATCTATCGGTTTTATGCATCTTTTTTTCTGAAAATTCCAAGGAATTAGTTGATTCTGCACCATTTCAGCTGGATATTCTACGTTTGGATCCTCGTTTAATTGAATTGTTTAATGTTGGTGGTTGCCATTTGAACTCTGTCAGTGTATTGTTAAACAAAGAATTTATTGATTTACAGCAGAGTAGTCACCATCAAATTGATCAGATGAAATTGACTATCAGTTCAAAATTATATAAATATTCTACATCGGAAACTATACCATGTATAGCCTACCGATTTAGTCATTCAGTTGAAAGCAAATTGGATGAAGTATCAAATACCGATCGTCAATGTACACAAAATTATATGGTCTTGTTATCACCATCGTTCACTGAAGGTCTTATATTTCTTAGTTGGTGTGAAAGTAGTAATGATGAATGTGTTCTAGATGAATATTCTACAGTTTACACATCTTGTCCTATGAAAAATACGTACTCTAATGGTGTTAGTACTAGAAAAAGTAGTTGTTTTATAGATGCCGGTGAGAACAATGCAAAAACACCCCAAAGTCATCATATGGAAATAAGAAACCATAAATATAAAGTAGGTTTGTGTGCTTGTTTTTTATTATAGATTTAAATAAGAACTATGCAGTAACTTCACACATCAGAATTGATTATTATCTTCAGCAGTCTGCACTAAAACTTCATTGCCGTTCATTCTGTAGTTCTACATAAAATGGTATTTGACCTTTCATTTTATTTATTTATTTGAACACATGAATATTGGTACAAGGAGGCACCACACAAATCAAGTGATTTGCATGTGGGCTATGATACTACCCGGGTGCACAGACCGAAGCAGGTGGTTTCCTTGGGTGGCCACACTCGGAGCCTTCGACTTAAAGGTCGGATCCACAAGGCAGTGGAGCAACGTCAGGAGATGCGGTCCCATGGTAACCGGTGTCCAACAATAGGTTCATACGCCATTTGTTTCTTCAGGATGCTGGAGCCCATGTGTACCAGTGGTTTGGAATCAGGGTTTTCCAACTCCACTAGGTGGACTCTCCATGTCCACTAACCCGGTTAGAGCGCCGAACATTCGCTTTTCGTTCTTTAATTTCGTAAAGAACACCCTCGCCACGAGATGGCAGTAAGAAGGACTTCCTTAGCAGTGGCTACATACGCGTGGCCATGTGAGAGAACTTCGAGAGGGAGAGCTAACTCGCCCCACCCTCGGCCATACCATTTGGAGGCATTTATATCGGGGCACAATATCATGAAAATCCCAAGTCCTGTATGAAAGCTTTACGATTCTACCACATTAAATGAGTTACCCCTCGTGGGGGGGATGGGCCTCTTGACAGGATCCTTCAATAAACTCTATCTTCGGTTCGACTTTCCAGTTTTTTCCAAGCGTTATTCATTATTTTGATGTCTACTTCCGATTCCCGACGTAGTGTGTTCTTCGGCCTTCCTCTTTTCCGTCTCCCTTCAGGATTCCAAGTTAGCGCTCACCTCGTGATGCAGTTTGGTGATTTCCGTAATCTGTGTCCTGTCCACCTCCAACGTCTTTTCCTAATTTCCTCTTCAGTTGGAAGCTGGTTTGTTCAGTATCTTGCGTAGAAAATTGTTTACAAATACTTGTGCTTTTTTGGTGACGGTTGTAGTAGTCCTCCAAGTTTCAGCTTCGTACAGTAGAACTGTCTCGACGTTCGTATTGAAGACTGTGACTTTGATGTTGGTTGACAGTTGTTTTGTGTTCCAAATGTTCCTTAATTGTAGGAATGCTGATATCGCTTTGATAATCGTTGACTTTACGTCTGTATCAGATCCCCCTTGTTCATCGATGATACTGCCCAGGTAAGTGAAAGTTTCCACCTCTTCCAGAGTTCCTCCATCAATTGTGATTGGTTTTGTGTTCTCTGTGTTGTATTTGGGGATGTTGCTTTTTCCCTTGTGCATGTTGAGGCCTACTGATGCAGAGGCTGCTGCTACATTAGTTGTCTTCATCTACACTTGTTGGTGTGTATGGGACAGCAGTGATAGGTCACCTGTGAAGTCCAAATCGTCTAGTCGCATCCAAGCTGTCCATTGTATTCCGTGCTCTCCCTCAGATGTCGAGGTCTTCATAATCCAGTTGACCACCAGAAGGAAGAGCAAAGACGAGGGTAAGCAGCCTTGTCTGACTCCGGTTCTTACTTGGAATGCATCTGTCAGTTGTCCTCCATGCAGTGTGGACGTCGTGTATACACCTACGCCATTGTGATCGATTCTGAGCCATTTCACCCAGTCTCCAACCATTGGTTACGATAGTCGCGCGGACCCCAATCAAGTAGTCTGCATCTACCAACATGGCTCAGACTAGAAGTTAGTGACTTCAAGGACTGATGCGACGTTTTGGTTTGATCGCCCCTAACTTCCTTCCAACCATCACCAACACTAGTCAGCATTGCGCGCCGTGGTAGTCTGTGGTTGTGTATGCGTAACTCGTGACCTAACCATCTCAGTCGATGAAGATTCACAACCTCATCAACTGGTTTACCATCATTCCCCAATCGCCTGAGTATAACCTCACTATTATTTACCCGGTGATCCCAGCAGATGTGAGCAATATTTCTAAGACATCTGTGATCAAATACAAGTGATTTACGAGTATCTTCTACTCTTAATGGCCACGTTTCGCAGCCGTAAAGTAGAACATAAAGAACTGCTACGCAGTATACTCGTCCGTTAATTGATAGACGGATATCTCGTCTTCGCCATAGGTGACGTAAGTTGGCAAAAGCGAAACGAGCTTCTCGAATCCGTGCTGAGATTTCGTCAGGCACCAACTCATTAGGGCTGATCAAACTTCCAAGATACGTGAAGTTGTCGTCGCGTTCGACTACTTCACTCCCTATCCTTAGTTCAGGTGTTGACGCAGGCCAATCCTGAGGCAACAACTTTCATTTAGAGGTGGAAAAACGGATACCAAACATCCTGGCATTGTTGCTCAGTGCTACCAAAAGACTGCATTTTATCAGCGTCTTCACCAAACAGTACTATGTCGTCTGTGTATTCTAAGTCGATATGTGGACCTCCTGGCAGATCAATTCTCGAAAATTCAGTCGACGAGAATGTTATTTCCATCAGTAGGTCTATGATTAAGTTAAACAAAAATGGAGAAAGTGGACAGCCTTGACGGACACCACTTGAGGTTGCAAAAGCAGATGACAGTTCGCCATAAGCTCTGACTCGACTTATAGTGTTCTAGTAAAGAGCGTTCACACGGTTTATGTACTTCTGAGATACGCCTTTCAATGAGAGACACTGCCACAGAACCTCTCGGTCTACGGAGTCAAATGCTGCGTTTAAGTCAAGAAAAACCACCATTGTCGGGCGCCGACTAGTATGCATGTGTTCTAGAACCTGACGAATAGTGAATATGTGGTCGATGCATCCACGAACAGGTCTGAGGCCTGCCTGATTTTCTCGTGTTCGCAATTCACGAGTCTTAATTAGGCGGCCGATAATTATTGACTCTAGTATTTTAAACGCTATGTTAGTCAAACTAATCTGTCTATGGTTATTACAGGATGATTTTGACCCTCTGTGACAACCATAGAGAGATCAGTATATTTGTGAATGAGTATTTGTGCATTTATTCGGTAGCACAATATACGTTTTTGTCCACTCTTGTGTTTTCACTCAAGTAGTCAGGTGGGTGGGTGGTGTGTAGCACGTTGTGTATCAATACCAGATTTCTGATACCACCTCTCATTACAAGTTGTTGCTCTAGTTGTAAGAAGGGACAGTGATTTTGTGATTTCGAACGATCTCGGCTTTCATCATTAGTCTACATAACTCTTCGAAATGAAGATTCTTCAACTCTCAGGACACGCCTTAAATGATTTTTTGCTGTTTGGTGTTTTTTAGCAAATTTTTTGTCTAGGAGATGGGGTTTCTGACCATTTGCCCAACCCTCCTCCTCTATCCGGGTTTGCGATTGGCAGTAATCCTAGACGGGCTACAATCGAAGTTTTGTCAAATGATTAATCATGTTTAAGTATTTCTTCAGTATTGCGTTTCGAAACTTAATGTCCTCAGGCAGCAGATCAACTCCATCTTCCCATTGCTCTATCGAAATTTATAAAAGGGGCTAATAACTTTATATGTTGGTAAATATTATCGATCAATCGACTTATTTGTTATTTTTGTCTTGTAATTCTAGGATTTTCAATTTCGTGCAGTTTTTCGAGCTGTTGGTGATCCAACCAATCCGTCGTCAATGCGCCGGTTAATTGATTCAGGTAGTGAAATACAGAATTTATTTTTTAAAACGTCAACACTAGCTCTAGTAGCCACTAATTTCATTGAGAAACTCAGTTTTTTCGTTTGGAAAACATTGCACAATTGATAAAATCTTTTTAATATAATTCTGCTCTGTTCGTTCAGTTTAATTAATTTGCATTGATGCTTGATTTTCTACAACTTTTTAACTAACAACTATCCCTCGCTTAATCTTTTCTGTTGAATATTTTATTTATTTAAATTAAATTCGTGTCTAATTTGTTTTGCATATCTAGACATTAATGATGATTGATGAGGAGAATCACGACCGTACTTTTTTGCGTTGTTTCATTCGTCTTTCTATTTTGATAAACGAGAAGAGAACCTTATTTTACAGAAAGTTTCTTTTTATTATTTTTAACATAGTGATTTGGTTAAGTCTAGTGGTGAGGATGGTTACCAAAAAGCTGTTCTGAAATTTTCCCACATACTGAGCTTTATGTCTATGACGATATACGAGTTTATTGTTAGATAATAAATTCACCGACTAAATGACATCGTTTCATATTCCGGATTCATACTAGAAAACCAGGCCAAACTCGTTCCCCTAATGTTTATGGTGGCCTACTCACTAAAGAATTATTCAAAGTGGAAAATCATAACTTTTGTTTATTTTCTCTTCAGTGAAGGAATTTTCTTATTATTATTAGCTTTATTCAATATTATATTTTTGGTACAACATAGATTTTTCAGCATAAAATATTTCAGCGAATTTCCACTTCTTATTTCTTGATCGACATTGACGATAATTGTTGAGCGATTGCCAGTTAGATGTTAGCATTTCGGAAATCGACATCTGAATAATGTTCATTCTTTTAATTGAGTTTTACAGAAAGCCATTTCGGAAAAACATGGACGCATTATTGACTCTCAACCCAGGAGAATGGACCAATGGGCAGAACACTTCAGGGATCAGTTCAACTGGCCTTCAGCCACACTTCGGTTTCCCACGATCTCCAATCAACCTGAATGGCAAATTGATGCAAGTCCTTCAACTCTTTACGAAGTTGAAAAAGCTACAGGAAATCTGAAGCGAGAGAGAGCAGCAGACACTGGCAGGTTTATCCCTGAGATTTTTAAGGATGACGGTCCAGTATTAGTAGCGAGATTGACTGAGGTCCTAGGTAGAATTTGGGAACTGGACGTAACCCCATCTGACTGGTTTCAATCACTGATTGTCCCAGTCTATAAGAAAGGACAAAAGTTCTCTTGTGACACTCACAGAGGAATCAGTTTGACTAACATTGTGTCTAAAATATTAGTCTCAATAATAATTTGACACCGAAACTAAGCTTTTGAAGAGCAGACTAGAGAAAATCAGGTTGGTTTACGACCAGAACGTGGCCGTATAGGCCAGATATTCATACTGCGTCAAGTCCTAGAACACAGACACACATTCAGACGCCCCGCAATGGTAGTATTTCTCGGATTTAAGGCGGCATTTGACTCTGTTGATCGTGAGGTTCTATGGCAGTGTTTGTCACTGAAAGGAGTACCAAAGAAGTACATTAACCTTGTAAAGGCTCTCTACTCGAACACAACTGGTTGAGTGAGAGCTTATGGCGAACTGTCATCAGAATTGATTACCTCAAGTGGTGTTGGTCAGGGCTGTCCACTCCCTCCATTCTTGTTTAACTTTGTCGTTGACGTACTTTTAGAAATAACACTTTCCTCGTCTGTATTTCCAGGGGTTGAACTTCTACCAGGAGGTTCACTTGTTGACTTGGAATATGCCGATGATATAGTTCTGTTTGGTGAGGACTGTGACAAAATGTAGAGTCTTCTGACCACCATAAGCAACAGTGCAAGCATGTTCAAGATGCGATTCTCCCCCTCGAAATGCAAAATGTTGTTTCAGGATTGAGTTGCCTCGACAGCTGAACTAATGATAGGGAGTGAAGTAGTTGAGTGTGTCGACCGCTTCACTTATCTTGGAAGTCTCGTCAGCCCTTGTGGTCTGGTGTGTGACGAAATCTCAGCACGAATACAGAAGGCTCGACTAGCTTTTACCAACTTGTGTCATTTATGGCGTAGGCGAGATATCCATCTACCAACCAAAGGACGTGTTTAATGTTTTATGACTGTGAAACATGGCCGGTAAGAGTAGAGGATATTCGTAGGTCACTAGTATTGGATCATAGGTGTCTTCGAAGCATTGCTCGTATATCCTGAGACCACCGAGTAACAAATGCAGTTGTTAGGACATGGGTACTAGGTAATGATGGCAAACCGACTGATGAAGTGGTGAAACTTCATCAGTAGATATGGCTGAGACATGTGTTACATATGTCCAACCACCGACTGCCTCGACTAGTGATGTTTTATGGTGTAGGAGTAGGTTGGAAGGTTAGGAGCGACCAGACCACAACACGGCACAAATACATGAAGTCATTGCCAAGTGGACTGAGTCATGTTGGTAGGTGTAGACTACCTGGTTGGAATCCGTGAGATGACAGCAGCCAATGGTTAGAGACCTTGAATGGCATGGCTTAAAGTCGTTTGCAACGACACGAGTGCATCCACTCTTTGTGTTCTCCCAGATTTTAATCTTCTGAATTCTCATGTCCCTTATTTTTTCTCTTTCCAAATTTATTTCACTGGATTATAGTCCTTGAATAACATCTTCAAACCCTAGTATTTACGATTACTGCTTATACTCTTACTACTTTTACCACTATGATATTTGAATCGACAATTGTATCTATGCACTAATGTGGTATGGCAACTCGAACTGATGTACGTACGTACGAAGTTCTATGTTGTTGCTAACTTACTGACTGAAACGTGATTGTCCGTTTACCACAAAATATATTGATCATTTCTTTTTATTGATTTGTTAGATAGCAGATAGATCCCACTTAATATTTTGTGCATGATGATAACTGACTATAGTAAGTCTCAAATGAGGGAAGTGAATCTTTTTTTAAGGTTATCCAAAATATTCGCTTCTGTTCCAACATAATTCAATGTCAAGTTTCAGTCAGGTTCTCACACCTAACTGCTTGCTATTCTGATTTTCTATTCATTATACAGACTTTATTAATCGAACGTTTATCAGTACTTGTACAACATCCCAATTATAATATTTTTTGTTAGGCTGGATTCATTTTGTTTTCACAACTTCGATTTCTTAGCTTTATTATACTACAAACAGGGTTTTGTTCAGTTATGATGGTTATTGCTGATCATTTTTTGATCTAGATCGAAACTTGGATTAAGGGCAAAGGAAAGCGAACTGATTTCTTTTGAACTCAGTTATATCCGAAGTTGCGCCACCGTAAGTCCTGGCTTCGAATCCCGCGGGGTACGGGATCGTAGATGCGCACTGCTGAGGAGTTCCATACTAGAAGGAAACGGCCGTCCAGTGCTTCCAGGTTTTCCATGGTGGTCTAGCTTCAACTGACTCATGATTTCAATCCATAAACTAATTATTTAATAAAAACATACATACCGATTCCGAGGTGAATAGCTTTCAAAGCTTGTTATTATCAGTCTTTCACCCGTTCCTAATAGCAACTAACGCGATATGGAATGAAATGAATGAACAAAATCATATTTTCAATTATTTTTTATTTCATGTCTGTCCACGTTAAACAACCTCTTATAAACAATCAGTACTGGGCGAATATTTCGTTGTTCTGAAAGTTACTATTTTATATCCATGACTACTTTTATGAATAGCTAAAAACCCTCAGTCTTTAAAAATTTATGATCAACATCAATAACTCTTCATGTACGGCACCATCACTTACATGTTTCCCTACATGTCTTGACAACAGTAAATGTGAATCATAACCTATTATCCGTCGTCGAAATGAACATTTTAAATTACAATGATTGAAAACATTTTTCTAATCAACTCTCAGTTCGTTGTTCAAAATATGTTAGTCATTAGCATAGGAAACCACTTGTTGTAATTGATCTCAGGCATATCGGTTTCTAAACGAGCAAATCGACTGAACTTCAAATTAACAACAAGCGTTCATTACAAACTTATCAGTTTGTTAAATAAACCAATCTACTTTTTTTACAGCCAAATGAAATGTAAACCAGAGTAACCTGTTAAATCTAAGTTTAATATTGGGGTGTTGACTGGAATTTACTGAAAACTGTTCACTGTGATGAATGTATTTGGCTAATTGTATGCAGTTACTTAATGAGTGTGAAAATTGACCTTGTAAGGTAATTATATAAAACCCTGAAGCAAAACATAAAATATATTGGTTCAAATATTTCCAAACGGTTACATTAAATACGTACGTGGAGCACTCCACCAAATTTACTGGTAATATTATTGACCGCAGCAGTAAGCGTTGCGGATTGAGATAACTGGACGAGCACTAGCTTCCTTAATACTGAATAAACATTTTGGCTTTCAGGGCTAGTCAATAAAAAATATAGTCACAAAGATCCTTCTCAACCGTATTCACTAATCTACCAACAAAATTGCTTGTTAATATACACTCACACTGACAGATCAATTATGATTCCAAAATTTTCATTTTCATTCAAAAAAGGATAATCAAACTATGGAGAACGCAAGTAGCATAGTATAATTTACAAGACAAGAAAATAAAAGGGTTCTCATTCAGAAACAAAACAATGAACTTCGATAGAGTTGGAAACTAAAAAACACTATCGGCTTCTCTGTTAAATCGACTCGGTTCTCTAAACAAATTACTTTCTTTTAAGATCAAATAAAACGACTGATTAACGTATTGTTCTGAAGCGTACTTAGTATGTACGACAAGGATGGCACGTTTGAATATCCTGAAAAGGTTCTGCATAAAATACAGTAAAATTGCAATAGTATGTGCGACCATAAGTGGTGTAATCTATGAATTTAAACTCATCGTTTTACCTGCCAACCAATTTATTTTAGGGAAACGGGAACAGCAAACTTGGTTAGTTAATATTACATCTTAAGAGGACAATTTAATTTTGCCACCGATATGTACTTTCTGAAAAAGCTACCTGATACGTAGGGACCGCAGAATCTAAGACACTAATGAACTAAAGAATATATTTTTACCTGAAGCGGCACGAGGTATTATTACATACAACCTATAAGTTTTCACGTGCGTTGAAACTAGTGCTCCGCATCTTGCCATTAACCACCATCAATTCCGTCGTTATCAGTACAGAGCGTGGTACAAGACGCCACACTGAATCAGCAGAAAGAAACGAAGTTAACAGGATTAATAGCAAACAATTCAAAATACTAGTAATATTAATTATAGTGCGATAGACTAAAATATGGTTTGAATGTGGATATCCATTTCTGATGAGTATTCGTCTGAGTTGAAGTAGTTCCTCACCTTTTGTGTCATGTGAGCATATTTGCCTAGTCCTCAAGGAAAAAGCGAACTAGGTCCCTGTTTCTAGCCAATGGGACTCGACTATGGGAATTTGCATTCTGACCAATCTATGTTGGTTTTCTATGTACATGTGTTTGTGAGGGAGCATCTCTCCTTTTCAACAAGACATATGTGATCTATACGACAGTTCCATAAACAAGGAAATGGAATTTAGTCTCGAGTTAAACGGCATTTTGTTCACATCAATTAGACTAAGTGGAACGACTTGATAGTTAGGGTGTTCGGCTTTTAGCATCTAACTCCCAGGTTTGAGCCCGGCTTCACCTATTTTGATTTGGGAAATCAGGTATTAACATTAGCCCTCAAACTTAGAGTGTAACGCGTAACCGAGTACATGGAGTTTGAGTTAAATTATAAATTTTAATTTCAAGTGGAGCATTTGAGATTTTCGTTGTACAAATATTCGGACAACTCTACTGCTGATTATGTACATTATATATGTAGTCTAAGATACTGATATTCAGTGAGTTTTTGTAAACTAACAATATTAACTTTATGATGAATTGGTTTGTCATTTAGTGATCAGAAATGTTACCAATGCATTCCAAGCTTTTTTTCGTGACAGACTATCCAATATAATATCCACTTATGAATACAACTACGTTGGGAGTGAGATACATGATTGATGGTATTGAGTGATAGTTGTGCGAAATCGCGAATTAACTGCCGTTTGAAGTATGAATCGGGATCACTGGATTCTAACTAAGCGGATTGGAGACAACGCAGTCACCATGATGTTTGGAGGTCATAAGTGTGTATTATTCAGAAGTCCCAAACTAAAGCGAAACAGGTATCCAGATGTATCATGTTTTCGAGTGGTTGTTTACCAGAAGTCAGTTTGTAATGTTAGCTAACCTTACACTCAACAACCTCTACAATTGACCTATTCTACATGTGATTATCTTTTTTTATCAATTGTGAATTTGCACTACTTTAAGGACAAACGTTTTTCGAAAAAATGAAGAAATTCGTACACTAAGAAATGCCAAGACGTTTTAGTATTATAGATGCAAATGAGCTTCCATATCTTAGACTTCAGTAATCCAGAAACAAAAGTAATTAATTACCGGTGTACGGGGTATGAGTGAGCAGTCGTTGTGGAAACGCGTTATTAATCCATATAACAAAAGATTGTAGGAGAATATATCTGCAGCAAATGTATAGGATGCTACTCGATTTAGACATTCAGGAGCAGCATAAAATGGGTTTCCAACGACTGAAACTGTATCTGCATGATCCATAAAAGTGAAATGAGACAAGAACTTTACTAATAAATTACCAAACCGAACAATTACATTTAACTGCTCAAGAACAATATTAGTCAACTAAGTAGCCGGAAATGATTTAAAACTAGTTCGAGGTTTTGAATTAGTGTTGCGTCCAAATGCTCGTTGTATTGAGTCACGGTGGATTAGCATAAACTCCTGTCCATTGTTTCGAATCAGCATTTACTTCGGTGTTTTAAAAACACAGGAGTAAAAGTTAGTGTTTAGTATTTGGTGGATAATAAAAACGGACAATTTGGCTTGATGGTGATATGACAGGAAGTGCTGAAACACGTATTTGGATATTCTGAACAACTGAACTAAATTTAACTCCGTATTCATGAATCTTGGTCTACAAAAATAAAACTGTGAGAAAATTAAAAAAACGAGTGTAACGATATGTATAGATAAAAAAACCTACTGTCTCAAATCCAAGCATAAACCCAAATCGGCCACAAGTGTAGTAAATTCCAGTGAACTGCTTGATGATATTAAAATTTCTGATCGAGTTAGACAATTTAGTACAAGTAGATCATTAGTAATTAATTGCTTCCATTGTGGTTCAATAAGTGGAATAGACTGCAGATAGCTGAAGGGGGTAATTGATTTACTTGAACACGACAATTTGTCAGTATGTTGGTTTGCAAATGAAAGTAGATGAGCTAAATTCAAATCAGAGTTATCTATATCTGTGGTATATTCTTCGTTTGAATAAGAGCTGACTGGTAAAAATTCATTGGTTTCATCATTTGAGGGTATTCTGCTAAACTGGTGAGATTGCTGTCGGTTGACACGACTGCTGTGACGTCTACAAAGATTATGAGAATGACAAGATTTATGTGATAAGCCATTGGTATGCTTGCTTCCTTGAACAAATGCATCGCTTTCGGATCCAGATAACTTGGATTGAGTAACTTGATCTTGGAGAGTGCCATTACAAACTGTCTGATAGTCAAAGTTAAATGTTGAATCAGAATAATTGTCTGTTGTATCTGGGTGCGATCGAGCGTGAACTCGGATAAGGATATTCTGTAGTGTATGTAGAGAAAGGACTATTATAACGATATCATCACATTGTGAAAAAGAAACGAACAACTTAGAAACTATGTCAAGTACTATCTTTTTCCTGCAGAAGTTATTCCTGAACATCGACAAACTATAGTTTTATGGTTAGTGTTAATATCTGTTTGCGAAACGTTTTTGCTTTAAAACAGTGGATTAAGACCCATCTTATCCGATGAAAAGCGGCGACTACGATCAATATCAGTCAACATACTCAGAAAGTCCAATTCTTATGTCCTAGTTTTTATAAAATTGAAGAAAGTGGTATTGTAAATTATTTCTAGAATGAGTGTGTGAACGAATAACGCTAACTGGTGCTTTGTGATAAGAAAGTTATGAAGATGATGTAATACAATAACATTTATCCCCAAACAGAATTCACGGTTTTCGAAATCATAGTTATTGAATTTTTTCCTTTTTTTACTTGTAGTGATGTTCAAATACAGAAAATGAATGTCACGTTGTTTAGGTTAAATCTTCAACTCTATTCTGTTATGAATACAACTTGTTACTATTTCAAGCAAACAGGCGGCATCTAAATATCAGATTAAAGTCTGGAACTCCATAATAACAGGAGTTTAAATTAGAACAGTGCATATGGGTGTGGATGAAATCTCTTGTAAAAAAATACCTAAGAGGTTAAATCTCGATGAATTAGACTGTGACTGTGCAGATGGTGAAGGCTACAGGCAATATCCAAAGCTAAATTGATCCGAACAGACCAAGACAAGTTTAACGCTACAGCGGCCAAAAGACCTGCTAGACTACCTTCACTAGCGTACTAGTAAAAAAATAATTCCAAAAGGTAGGATATGATGAAAGTAGATAACAAATCCAAGGTCACTTCATAAAAAAGCAAACAAATAATAACTAACTAATCGTACGAACAAAAATTGCATTTACGGCGAGACTCTAATTTAAGGACGACCTTTGAACGAATCTTAAGTGACCTTGACAATTATTAGACAATCAGAAGAAAGTTAGTATAAAGTGAAAATATATTATATGAAAGTAACGAATTACAGTGGATATTCTTCTTTTACATGATTTAAAAACTTGTTAAGGTTTGATTAAGGTTCAGAGGTTCTGAATTCACAATGCATATGGAATAGAAACTCGTCTATTGGGTTAGAGTTAGGTTTACGGGTAAGGTTAGGGTTAGGATTAGTTGAGGGTTAAGGTTTAGGGTTAAGGTTAGGGTTTAGGGTTAGTTGAGGGTTTAGGGTTAAGGTTAGGGTTTAGGGTTAGTTAGGGTTGGGGTTAGGTGAGGGTTTAGGGTTAAGGATAGGGTTAAGGTTTAGGGTTAGGTGAGGGTTTAGGGTTATAGTTAGAGTTTAGGGTTAGTTGAGGGTTTAGGGTTAAGGTTAGGGTTTAGGGTTAGTTAGGGTTGGGGTTAGGTGAGGGTTTAGGGTTAAGGATAGGGTTAAGGTTTAGGGTTAGGTGAGGGTTTAGGGTTATAGTTAGAGTTTAGGGTTAGTTGAGGGTTTAGGGTTAAGGTTAGGGTTTAGGGTTAGTTAGGGTTGGGGTTAGGTGAGGGTTTAGGGTTAGTTGAGTGTTAAGGTTTAGGGTTAGGGTTAGTTGAGGGTTAAGGTTTAGGGCTAGGGTTAGGTGAGGGTTAAGGTTAGGGTTAGGATGCTAACATACGAGATTTTAAATCATGTCAAAGAAGGATATCCACTGTAATTTATTATGTAGCGGTAAATAAATCCCCAAAATAAATAGCTCTGTAAGTTTTCGACATTGGATGCTGACCATATGTTTTAGTGGACTCATCTAGCTGAAGGCGCTCGGTCATGCATCCGCACCAGATCACGTGTGGTAACGCCGTGCTCAACATCGACCGCAATCGGTAGCCAGATTAGATCAGAGAATTCCGATATATTGGTCATCGCCAAATATACTCTTCCGATCTCCTCGACTCTGTCTTTTGATTTCTCTGGGTGGGAACGAAATATACTAGGTGTTACTGGTAGAAGCGTTGTCAATCACTGAATACCTGTGACATCATCATTGGTGAAACCGACGTGATCTGGTACACCTAATTGCAACTGTGAGTCTGTTCCTTTTTGGGATTTTTATATATCATTGCCTTGTTTTTTTATTTTTTTAAACATTGTGATTTTTTTTCGTGTTTTTTCCTGGATATATATATTTTCCCCTTGTTCATTATTGTACTTCATACTTCATCATGACTGAACAGACACCTAAAGTACTCAAGCTTAAGACTTTGTCCCCGCCTTCGTTTCAACTGATGCCTTTCTGGCCCGACAACATCGAAGCCTGGTTTTGCTACGCAGAAGCCGACTTCTCCGAGCACGGCGTGATCGACACACGTGCACAATTCCTCGCAGTAGTCAAGGCACTACCGCGCGAATTCAACAGGTACGTAACACCTAGTATGTTTACTAGTGATGTTTCCGATCCTTACGAAATCTTAAAACGCTCGATTCTTAAACGAGGAGACCTAACCGATCGACAAAGGTTAGATCAACTCTTCAACAATATCGACCTGCAACACGGTTCTGCGACGGACATGTTGCAACGGATGAGAGAGATAATAGGCCCAAGAACTTTCGACGAAGGTCTATTCAAACAACTCTTCTTGTCAAAACTTCCCCAACAGGTGCAAGCAGTTCTGGTCTCGTTCCAGAACAACGCCTTAGACGAGCTAGCTGCATCTGCCGACCGCATTTTAGAAATTACAAAACCTTCTACTACCGAGGTATTTTCAGTCAAAGAAAAACCTCAAACGACTCAGAATGATATAAACGACTTATGTCACACACTCACGCGTTATCTTAGTCTTCGTTCCGACCGTAAAAGATCGCGCACACCACGTAGAAGCATTTCTCGTAAGCGATCTGTCTCTAGACCACGAGAGACAGATAACCCCGACTGGTGCTGGTATCATAACCAGTATGGAAAGTTTTCCAGAAATTGCAGAAAACCCTGCAATTTTCCCAACACGAAACCGACTGATTCGAAAAACAATTCGGGAAACTTCCAAGCCGGCACGCGTTAACGGCAACCGTAGCCGGCGAACAAAGCCGTCTGTTATTCGTCACAGATGTGACAACGAGAGTTCGCTACCTCGTCGACACTGGCGCAGAATTTAGCGTTCTCCCAGCAATTCCTAACGACCGGCTTCAGGAATCGGCTTTTAACTTACAGGCGGCAAACGGAAAACCGATCGCTACGTATGGCAAAAGGTACGTTTACCTTAACGTGGGTTTACGCAAACCCATCCACTGGATTTTCGTTGTTGCAGATGTTTCTATGCCAATCATTGGTATGGACCTTCTACAACACCATAATCTGATCATCGACACGCGCAAACGGAGGCTAGTAGACGGGAACACTAATTTGTCCGTTTGCGTAACTTCTTTTACTGGTTGCAGAGTATCCCCAGTCACAGTTAAACATATGATAGACCCACTCTATCAGCCACTACTCGATAAGTACCCTGGGATACAACAAACTCAACCGAAACTACCGTGTGTAACCAGCAATGTTACACATCACATCACGACTACAGGACCACCTGTATTCTCTAAAGCACGACGACTAGCTCCTGAAAAGCTAAGGTTAGCGAAAAACGAATTCGATCACATGATGGACTTAGGAATCATACGACCGTCAAGTAGCCCATATGCATCTCCGTTGCACATGGTCCCTAAAAAGGACAGCAACGATTGGCGTCCAACTGGTGACTATCGGCGATTGAACGCGAAAACCATTCCCGATCGTTACCCGTTGCCTCACATTCACGATTTGACAGTTACCTTGAAAGGTACAACTGTCTTTTCGAAAATCGACTTGGTTAAAGCGTATAACCAAATCCCTATGGCTACTGACGACATACCGAAAACAGCTATCATAACTCCCTTCGTACTATGAATTTTTGCGAATGCCTTTCGGTCTAAGGAATGCTGCTCAAACATTCCAAAGATTCATAGACGACGTTTTTCGAGGTCTCAACTTCGTACACGCGTATGTTGACGACTGTCTAATCGCAAGTCCGGACAGAGAAACACATCTCAAGCATCTGGATCTTGTTTTCGAACGACTACAAAAACATGGCATAACTGTAAACGTTCAGAAATGCCAATTCGGAACCGACTCATTAGACTTTCTGAGACACACTATCGATGCTCAAGGTATCCGACCCCTTAGGACCAAAGTGGCGGCCATTCTGGATTACCCAGAACCGACCACCGTCAAGCAATTACGCACGTTTAACGGCCTGGTAAGTTTCTATAGACGTTTCATACCCAAATGCGCATTACTTATGAAACCTCTGACCGACCAACTTCGTGGAAATGCAAAATCCATTAATTTGGACGACACCGCAAGAAAAGCATTCTCCACAGTTAAGGAACTGATTGCTAAAGCAACAATGCTCGCACATCAGGACACCCGAGCACCCATTAGCATCGCAGTAGACGCATCCGACTCGGCAATCGGAGGAGTCTTACAACAATGGGTTAACAACTCCTGGCAACCCTTGGCATTTTTCTCTAGAAGGTTGCTAGACACCGAATCGAGGTACAGCACATTCGGTAGGGAACTCCTAGCTATGTATTGTGCTGTACGGCATTTCCAACACTACACCGAAGGTCGTGAATTCACTCTTTTCACGGACCATAAACCGCTCACTTTCTCGTTAAGCTCTCCTTCTGACAAGTACTCTCCCCGTGAGTCTCGACAACTAGACTACATTTCGCAGTTTACTTCAGACATTCAACACATCTCTGGAGCAAACAATATAGTTGCAGACGCTTTATCTCGCATAACTTCCTTGAACAGTTTCCAAGGAATCGACCTTCTTAAACTCGCCGAGCTTCAAAAAGAAGACAGTGATCTTCAGCACGAGTTATCGTCCACAACACTTAAACTACGCATCAAACAGATGGGAACAGGTAAGGAAACCTTACTTTGTGACACATCTACAGGTAGGGATCGCCCAATCGTGCCGAAACATTATCGACGCAATGTCTTCAACACATTGCACAAACTTTCGCATCCAGGTGTTCGTGCAACCATCAAGCTTATAGCAGAAAGGTTTTGCTGGCCTGGAATGAATAAAGACGTGAGGGAGTGGGCACGCTCCTGTGTAAGCTGCCAAAAATCTAAGGTTATCAGACACAATAAATGTCCCTTAGGCTCGTTTAGAACTCCCGATGCTCGTTTCGACCATGTTCATCTGGATTTGGTAGGACCTTTACCAGATTCAAATGGATACGCTTACCTCTTAACCTGCGTAGACCGTTTCACTCGATGGCCAGAAGCAGTACCTATCAAGGACATCACTGCTGAAACAGTGGCCCGCACCTTCGTCGAACGATGGGTAGCAAACTTCGGCTGCCCTTCAACCATCACTACAGACCGCGGACGTCGGTTTGAATCTGATCTTTTCCGTTGTCTGACCACACTTTTAGGAATCACTCGCTTCCGAACGACCGCCTACCATCCACAAGCAAACGGGTTGGTAGAACGTTTTCACCGACAACTGAAAGCTTCGCTATCAGCTGCAAACGTTTCACAGTGGACCGACGCTCTTCCACTCGTCTTACTAGGTATCCGCAATGCAGTGAAAGCTGACATTGGATACACTGCGGCTCAACTGGTTTATGGAACGACACTTCGACTTCCAGGAGAATTCGTGGATCCTTCATCCTCTTCAATGAACATGGATCTAACCTCCTACACGAACAGGCTTACAAACGCAATGCGTTCAGTTAAACCTGCTTCCACTCGACCTCAATCAACTGATGTTTTCGTTCAACCTGACTTACGATATAGTACACACGTTTTCGTTCGTCGAGACTCGCATCGACGACCCTTCGAATCAGCATACGAAGGACCCTTCAAAGTTCTTCAACGTGAATCTAAGTACTAT